TGCTGCTTTGTCTACTATGTGTGTGTGTGGGAGAGAGAGGGAGGCACAGGCAGTGTGCTTGCGTGCAAGAGCGGTAATGTTGTCGCAGACAGTGCGTGTTAAGAGACGTACATGCGAGAGTATTTTATAAACGTTGCCTGATAACGAGCAGCAGCAGGAGGAGGAGGAAGAGCAAGGACGGAGAACGCGCGCAGCCAGAGAGCTTGCTCCGCTCTGCTTATTTTAGCTCGTGTGTTTGTGTATTTCACACTTTATTGATGTCGACGATGCATCCCTCTTGAGCACACTGGTGACCACTCACATCTACTGGTGTGTGAGGCGCAGTTTTGCATGTCCTCACCAACAGACGTGAAGATAAACACGTGTGTGTACAGGTGACCGTCAGTTAAGACAACTGTTGGCCATAATGTAGTAGAGGTATACGACAGGAAGCAGCTGTCTCCCTCAAGGCATCGTACTTCAAGTGGTGTGATCCTTAATGTTCTTGGCTGGGGAGGTGGGATAGTAGCTTGGAAGGGGTGATGTGCTACGGTGCAGAGAAATGCCCTTAGTGTGTGACTTGCTAGAGATTATACATTCTTAAGTCAATCGTAATATTAGTACACCGTTTTGAGAGCTCCAGACTTCAATTACAAGGCTTAGTGCGTCTGTGATAGGATTAGGTGTCAGCTTCTTGATACTAATTAAAGCATTAATTTCAGTGATAACAATCTCTGAGGCATGGCATAGAAATTTTGTACTGCTTGCAAAAACAAATGGAAAGCTTAATAGTTATGATTCACCTTAACTATAACTTACTACCCCCTTGTAACAGTCTCAGTTAATGAACCCTTACGGGAGACATCTCCCGTCACGCAGGGTGTAGTCGCACCTCCACAGATCTCCAGTATCAGCTCTTGATACTGGTAATGGCTCAAAAGGGCCACCACTTACGGGCTATTCATGCCCGTGCCACCTTTTGGGTGGCTTAATCTTTATCAATCAATCAATCAATCAATGAACCCTTAGTATACCATACTGTGTACAGTAAACACCTGCATTACTCTACCTGCCCTTGTACCTAAACGAACACTGGGAGTTGCTGTAGGCGGAGAGGCCGACCTCCACAGGGAAGATAAAAGCCTTCCTGACTGAGTGCTGGAACCAGGGCGAGGTGACGCCGCCACAGGCCCTCGAGATAAGGCCCACCAGCAGTGACGCACAGCCAAGGGGCTGAGGTCACACTGTGGCCACCATCTCCCACAAATATAACTCGATGGCACAAACATAACAGCCAAATTAGCACGAGATAGTCTAAATTAAACTAGACCCAAATACCCAATGTCTGTTGATAAAACTATATTCTCAAAACATTGAGGGTTAACATAATAAAAAAAAAAAAAAAAAAAAAAAAAAACGGAAAACATTAGGATGTGATTCCTATGTATATGTGCAGCATAACACGTCCACCAAACGGTGAGAAATAGTACTTGCCATGATCACGTTAGGTTGCCGTTACATGTGGCAGGGGCGGCAAGTGACGAATCCATCACCCCCAGAGCACTCCAGGTGTAAACTATGAGCAGGAACTGGGTCATACACTACTTTATTGAATGTCCAGTCATTAGACCCTTCAGATCTGTAGGTATAACGTACCTGGAGCCTTGCAATTACTTTATCCACTCTCATGTTCTCGAAGATATTCTCATAATGTACCTAAACTTTACCAGGAAAGGAAAGGAGGATAGAGTGGCATGACGTGGGTGGTTGTTGGGGCCTGACTTGTTATCTGGAGAGGCCACTCGCCTAGATATCGCTAAATGGATCTTACAAGCAGGGGGTGAAAGCCAGGTAATAGTGAACAGATCCAGTCAAGGCGACAGCGGTCAGCCAAGAAAGGAGCGTCACAGGATACAAGGGGGCGAGCGTTCCTCACACACAACTAGCCTCGTGTCATCCACTCAACATTTTCCTGGGATCCTTGTGATAAACGTCTCCACCGTCGGAGGAGAGCCGGTCAGCTGAGCGGACAGCACACTTGGCTTGTGGTCCTGGGTTCGATCCCAGGTGCCGGCGAGAAACCATGGGCAGAGTTGCTTTCACCCTATGCCCCTGTTACCTAGCAGTAAATTAGGTACCTGGGTGTTAGTCAGCTGTCACGGGCTGCTTCCTGGGGGTGGAGGCCTGGTCGAGGACCGGGCCGCGGGGACACTAAAGCTCCGAAATCATCTCAAGATATATATATATATATATCTTATATATATATATATATATATATATATATATATATATATATATATATATATATATATATATATATATATATATAATATACCGTAAATGCCAGCCAGGTTGTGGGCTTCGTGGGCTTCGAGCTGCCAGGGAAAATGTAGAGAAACCAACCACCTTGCCATGCGGTTACCTTGCGTTGATTCCAGAGCTCGCTCTCTCAGAGCACGTATTGCACCTCTGGTTTTCAACGGGGGCTATATCAGCCTGGAAGAGGAGGTAATTGTACGTTATTGTAAACTGACCTACAGCCACAAGTGTTCTTCAAAAGGATGGCAGACACTAACGGTTTGGTTGATCTGTAATAAAATATGAGACATCTTAGCTGAAAGGAATATTTGGAGGAGCCTCTGAGACACACTAGATAAACTTGGGGTACAAGTACCAGAGACTGCCTGCGAGAAGACTACCTACGACTCTCCAAACATAACACACACTCCCTGCGATGTTACAGCTATGCGATTTGTGTGTGTGTACTCACCTAGTACACACAGTTGTGTGTGTGTACTTGCCTAGTTGTGCTTGCGGGGGTTGAACTCTGGCTCTTTGGTCCTGCCTCTCAACTGGTGTACAGGTTCCCGAGCCTATTGAACTCTATCATATCTACACTTGAAACTGTGTATGGAGTTAGCCTCCACCATATCACTGCCTAACGCATTCCATTTGTGTGTGTGTGTGTGTGTGTGTGTGTGTGTGTGTGTGCGTGCGTGCGCGTGCGTGCGTGCTTAGATGGAAGGAAGGAGGGGGCGGGGTTGAGAGATGGGTGTGGGCGCACAAGTGTGGTGTGGGGTCCGCCAAGACCCACCACACCACCGTTTTTACTCTCTCAGTGGGCGAGTAGTAAACAGTTTGAATGAATTAAAGGAGGTGGTTGAGGCTAATTCAGTCCCCACCTTTAAAAATATGTATGGCAGAGTTGCTCAACACCGAGGGTCATGTTTTTGCAGATAGCCGAAAGTAAAGAACTCGTGTCGATCCCAAGATGAAACCCTCCCTCCCCACAATTACACCTAGACCTAGGGTTAAAAACATGATGAAAAGAACTACTTGTCCCCCCGGCCCATGCCACCCTGCCTCGCCCAGCCACACTGCAACTGCCGCCCGCCCACACATCTCTCTCCAAATGAAGTCAACTAAAACTATTCATAAATGATTGTACATTTATAATTAATTTTACAAAACAATTTGAATACATTAATCACTCTCACAAGGAAGTAAAGATAATAGCAGACACGTAATTACTGTGAAATTGACCGTATAATAAAACCGTTACGTCACATGTGACATGATACCTAACACGTGAAAAATATAGTTTAGACAAGTATTTTTGTACAATAATTTCAACATTCATTATAACATTATAGAAGACAGGTGACATAATAATGCGTAAATGTACATAATAAATGGGATTTACTTCTAGAAGCTCAGCCTCAAGACGCCTAATGTTATTCTTCAGGTTCATCTTGCTCTCTTGTAGCCATTTAGAACATGCACTTCAGTGTTCGTCGCCATACTGTAAACTGGACAGAAATTGTTCATGTTTTATGAATAAATATATGTAACCTCCTTTTACCATCTATCTTACTTTCACTATTTTCCCCAGGCTAACACCTCCCCCACTCCATAGTAGAGGAAAGTGAGGTAATAATAACCCATGTATATGTGTATATGCATGGGTTATGAAAAGCTTCAAAACAAAGTATGTCTTCGAAGAACTGGTGCTCATTTGTACGAAACACTGTTCTAATGAATTAGACCAAATTTCTGAAGGTGTGAGGAGTCAGTAGCTGGGTTCGTATCTTGGCTGTAAGGGGAGTGGGTGAGTGAGGAGAGTCATGGGCTGGATTAAGAGCTTACCAGTAATTCACAAAAATACCATATTACCACCAGCACCAACATGGTTTACCTTGCCAACATCAGCACATTCAAGATGAACTCAGCAATGCTATTTTAGTGGCCAGAATATGCCTGGGAAATATTGTAGATATGTTCCTTATATCTACAAACATATCTGGTATCTTTACCAACACAGATACATAATATACTAAATGTCAAATTTGTGAGAGAGAAAACATACATTCTCTTGAACATTATTTTGTAGAATTTCCCATATTGACGGGTCTGAATTCTGAACTCTGAAAATATTTGAATGCTGTAACACTTGATCTATTGACTTTCATGGTACTCAATGTGGCTTTGGAAAACAATGAAGAATAGGATTATAATACACCTGAATTGAAAACTTGCAATGCTTTAATAATCACCATAAAATCTTAAAACTACTGTACTCAAAAAGTACTCTTCAATTCCGAAAATATTATGTTTTTATCTTCTCATTATGGTGTATAGTACAGATACTGTAATGCCATGTATTTAAATGCATAAGTAAATTATTTTGTATATTTTGTGAACACACACATATATATATATATATATATATATATATATATATATATATATATATATATATATATATATATATATATATATATATATATATATATATATATATATATATATGTATATATATATGTATATGATATATATATATATATATATAATATATATATGTATATATATATATATATATATATATATATATATATATATATATATATATATATATATATATATATATATATATATATATATTATTTACTATACTGTACTGTATTTTTTCACTTATCTTAAATATTGCATCACAATCTAAAAACTGTTATTTTATTTGACAGTTCTGGATACTGCTGGCCAAGAAGAATTTAGTGCCATGAGAGAGCAGTACATGCGTTCTGGTGAAGGTTTCCTGCTAGTGTTCTCAGTCACTGATCGCAATAGCTTTGATGAGCTACCTCGCTTCCACAAGCAGATCCTTAGAGTGAAAGATCGAGATGAATTTCCCATGTTGATGGTGGCAAACAAAGCAGATTTGGAGCATCAGAGAGTAGTAAGTTAATTTTTGTAAATAAAATCTATAAAAAGTTTCTTGAAACTTTGTTAGGAACTGCAACAACGATTGGCAAGTTTACTACAGTAGACCTGCTAACCTATGCAAGACAGGTTTTGTTGACACAAAGCATTTGTCCACACTTATCTGTCCAACACATCCTTCAAGTAATATTTGCTTCAGTAATAACAGATTATTCAGTAATTAACAGATTATTCCAACCATTTACACCTTAACTGAGGAATAAATTCATTTGTACGGTATATCCTTTCTAAATTTAAATTTGTCACATTTGATTTCATTGTTAAATTTTGACATGATTTGATATACTGTATTCAATACACTATTTATATCCTATTTTTGTCATGACTTTCACACATTTGTGCACTTATTATTCAGTCACAGCAACCTTAGTGCACTCAGTCAACCATCATAAGGAAAATTCCCAAGATTTAACCATGTCATCCATTTCCGTATCCATTAAATGACTTGAATTTTAGCTTGAGTAGACTACATAATGGGTAGATTTCCATCTGATCACAAATGTCAGCATTAATGCAAACGCTCAAACATCAAGGTCGATACTTAACTGGTTGCCAAGTCATATAAGAACACTGTACTAGGGAAATGACATTGCTGACGAAGCTGCAAAACATGCAACTAAGAGAAATGTAGACATTAACATACCACAGAGTCTAGAACAGATTAAGCAAATAATTAGAGTTAGAAGAATGCAAAAGCTGTAGTGACCATATCAAGAATTTAACCAACTACAAACCACTCATTCTAATGAAAGGGAGCAATAGAAAAATTGAAGTGCACTTACATCGCATTAGGCTTGGATACCCATGTGCATGTGAAATAGGCTTACGGGTTCCAGAAGATGAGAAGAAATGTCAGCACTGTGGAGAAATGCCTGACAGACCATTGAAATATTATGTAGTACATGTTGTCCATTTCATCACATATCATAAATTTAAAATTTTGTGCTTGGTGCAGTTTGGAAAAAAAGCTTGTATACAGGGAAGATACTAGAAGCACTTAAATTAGCAGATATAGGTCCACTGCATGAGGGAGGAGTCAAATCATCGGCTGGATATTATTATAGACCAGTTGCACTAGCATCACATATAAGTTTTTGAAAGGGTAATATCAAATCTCTAGTTATGTGGAGAACAATGAACTTCACAACCTCGGTCAAGATGGAGGTAACTAACCAGCAGGACTTCATACTATGAAGATAGGACTATGAAGATAGTGGTAGTGTTATTTACAACCTTCTCAAAATGTATTTTCTGAAAAGGAGACAAAAGAGGTATCAAATATTTACATGGAAGATATGGGAAGGCCAGGTCCCAAATTGGCACAGTAAAATGATGTACTGGAGCATAAGATATGGAAGAAAATGCAAAACAGAAGCAGTGAGGAGTAGACAAACCATATACACAATCAGAGAGCACTATCATAGGTCCACGGTTGTTTGATACTTTCCCAACAAGCATAAATAGTATGATACTTTCTTAACAGGCATAAGAAATATTGCCAGAACAGATGTGATACTTTCCTAACAGGCATAAGAAATATTGCCAGAACAGATGTGATACTTTCCTAACAGGCATAAGAAATATTGCCAGAACAGATGTGGACTTCAATATGCAATTAGGTAAGTTTCTGCAAGAAGTGACAGACAAACCGGGTTGTAGTAGACATGTGGGCCTGTGTGCCACTACAAACAACAACCTGTTGGACCAAGTTATCACAAGTCGAGTCTGGCCCCAGGCCAGGCTCAGGGAGTAGAACTCTGAACTCCATCCAGGTAAACTTTAGGCAAGACTGCAGGGACAGGGAGGAACACTCACGAAGAGTGAGAAAGAAGTGTGTAAAGAACAGAACACCAAGATGATGTTCCAGGAGGTCTTCAAACTGGAACCAGATAGTCCTACCTCCTTTTAATTTAAATAGGTTTCATTTGTCCACTTTGTCTATTCCTCTCAGGATCTTGTATGTAGTGATCGTATCCCCTTTGTTTCTTCTCTCTCTCTTTTTAAGATTGTGAGGGGGAGTTCCCTCAACCTGTCCTAATAGTCGAGCCCCCACGATTCTGGACATGTACTGTATAACATTAATTTAGTTGCAAACACCTGAACATTCTCAAGTTTCATTTAGTGTTTCACAAGGTGTGGGTTGCATGGTAGTGCTGCATACTCAAGTAATGGTTTCACACAGAACCCCATTAAGGCAAGGCAAGGCAAGGCAAGGCAAGTCAAGCAGGTGTCACATAGGCAGTGTATGGACCCCGAGAGCCTCCTTGCCTGTTGTTTAGATTCTTAAATGATGTTCGTATATATGCTAACTTCTCATTTACTGCTGATGTTATGCTGTTCACACAAGCCTCTGGTATTAGTGTTGGGATTATGTTAATTACCAGGTCTTTCCCTTATGATGTAGTTAAATATAGGTGTCCCATCTCCCTTAACCATTTCCATTACCATTGTTGAATTCCATCAGCCATTTATCTGCCCACTTCTGAAACATGTCACTGTCTTCCTTTTCCAGATTTCCATTAGCTCTGTGTCTATAGTGTAATGTTGAACACTACAGTTAATGAGCAGCTTCTTTCAGTAACCATGGTGATATCTGGTCTGGTCTTGTTGCTTTGGCTACATCCAGTTGCTCCAGGTTTCTTTTTACCTATTCTACATTAACTTCAAATCTGACTACTGTTGTTTCTGTTTGGAAACCTACTGAAACCTTGTGTTGAGTCCACACTCACACACTCTCACTCTTTGTCATTCTCCTTACACTGTTGGTTTGCTGTTCTTTTTTTTTTGTCCACTTACCTCCTGAGAAGCATGAACTGGAACTGTTCTGGTGCTTCTTTGTATTTGTCTCATTTGCTGATTTTCCTTCCATTGAACATTCTGTAGATAGGTCCTAACACTCTTGTGGTCACTTTAATGTATTCTCTCATACTCTTTATCATGTTTCAAGTTCTCTTTCAGTTCTCCAATGTAATCAAACACAATAAAGCAGTGGTCACTGGCTATTAGTGCCATCTCATATTTTAAGTTCTCTACATCATCTTCATTTTGAATAAACACTAGGTCTAGGGTAGCTGGTACATCACCTCTTGTTTCTTGTTGACTTCTTGATATCACCCATAGGAAGTGTTTGTGTGCAGTGTCCATAAATCTTGCTCTTTCTGTTTCATCTTCCCCATGAGGATCTTTTCGAGGTTAAAATCCGAAAGAATTGGGATCCTTATTCCGGCTTTGCTGTTGTGGCTGCCTTTTCCATTACATTTAGGCATGTTTCATTACATTTATTTCATTTCTCCCCCTTGACCTTCCAATAGTTATGTCATGTTTCAGTGACCTTGAAACATTCAGACATAACTATTTTAAGTTTCTTATTACGATGAGAGACAAGGTCAACACAAGCCTATCATGTGATAAGAGTCCTGGGCAAACCTAATAGCTCTGGCTCGGGAAGCATCCAAGGAGGCTATGCTTAGATAATTAATATTTCCTCTGTGTATTGTATATAGTCAAGACAATTCCAGTAATTCATAGACAATTGCATATTAAAATGCCTAGTTCTAAAAATATACATTTAGAATATTTAATATGTAATATATGAGAAATGTTAAATTTCAGATAAGTACTGAAGAAGCCCACACAGTGGCTCGACAACTGAAGATCCCATACATTGAATGTTCAGCCAAAAGCCGCACAAATGTGGACCAATCCTTTTATGAACTTGTGAGAATAGTGCGCAAGTTCCAAGCTGCAGAACGACCTCCTGCAAAACCTGCTGCCAAGAAGAACAAAAAGAATTGTGTTATTGTTTGAAACTTGACTAAATTTTGCATTAATAAGGAGTTTTAAAGTCATGATATTGCTGATTAAGGCATAAACTGAAATGTATAAACTATCAAATATGCAAAGTTGTGCCACAAGTTTCAATGTTCAAATATGGAGATTTTTTTTTTGTTTTTGTTTTACAAGGAAAATGTTTAGTGCCTTTAATTATGAGTAAAATGCAATAAATGAGTATCAAGCCGGATTAATAGTACCAGCAAGAAACATAAAATAAAGATGGTGTATGGATTAGTAAAAGAAAATTTTATTGTGAATGCTTGTTTAGGCAGCCTGAATTGTCACAATTACTGGTATGATGGATAATTCGTTGATACTTTTAAATGTATCCACTCGCGCACACATCCTTACAAAGCCTGCTTCACATGGTTGGATGGAGATTTTCACACTATCACAGTTAAGTGCATCTAAGCTAAGGTAGTGATCTCAAGGTATTGTCATGCCAGTACTGAAAAACTTGTTCTGTGCAACAGCATGCTACAACCAATACTCATCTCTTTGTATCTCAATATATTATTGTTCATAAGTTTTCCATAGTGTGTAATTGTGAATATAAGAACAGTAGTTCCAACTATATTGTACCTTGTATTCATATAAAATATATGTTATTTTAATTATGTTAAGTGTTATCTCCTTAAAATTGCTTTACTCTACTTATGAAGCATAACAGTTGTAACATTTTGGTACAATTAGAAAACTGTCTTTTCAGTCATCGCCACAAACTGATAGATATGGTAAGAGTACCGAGTAATCTCTCATTTTACAGGTCATAATTGCCAGATGACACACTAATTAATATGTACATCAATTTATTTGTTCTCTTTTTGGTTTTGCATTAATTACCCCTTGTTTCAGAGGGGAAAATGGTGGTTGTGTTTGGTCATGTATTAGTGTAGATACTTTGTATAATTTTCATTATAACAGTCCGTTATTTTTCTTCTTCAGAGTAATGAAAAGCTTACCTTACCTTGCCTTGAGGTGCTTCCGGGGCTTAGTGTCCCCGCGGCCCGGTCGTCGACCAGGCCTCCTGGTTGCTGGACTGATCAACCAGGCTGTTAGACGCGGCTGCTCGCAGCCTGACGTATTAGTCACAGCCTGGTTGATCAGGTATCAGCCAGGCTGTGACTCATACGTCAGGCTGCGAGCAGCCGCGTCTAACAGCCTGGTTGATCAGTCCAGCAACCAGGAGGCCTGGTCGACGACCGGGCCGCGGGGACACTAAGCCCCGGAAGCACCTCAAGGCAAGGTAAGGTAAGCTTTTCATTACTCTGAAGAAGAAAAATAACGGACTGTTATAATGAAAATTATACTATGCTTCGTTATACATTTAACCTCTTGTGTTATTATTGATGGCCATTAAAAAAATATTAAGTGATAAGTTGAGCAAAGTTGTGTGAATATTTGTATGCATACAGTATATACTGTAATAGAATTGTAGTTCCTCAGTTTGTGCAAGGAATGCATTCCTTGAAAATTGTACTGTGAATTTGCACAACTCACACACAAGACAATGCATATATAGGACACTGTTTGAAAAACACTGCTTCATACACAGATCTCTTGTTTTTAACTCTCAATAAAGACATGCATACTACCATATAGCACTTTGTTTGGGGAGGAAAACAAAATTGGGAATGCTTCTAACAATAGAAGCCAAGAACATGAACATTCTGCACAATAACTATATCACTAAATACCTCCACACAAATGGTCATTAAATCACTACAAGTTGTCACCACTAATACCATGGTCACAATGTAAGGTTAAGAATGTAATTATTTAAATATTTATAAACTATTTCTTCAATGCTTATACAGTAATTAAAACAAAGAGAAAAAAAAGAAAGGCCAGCACAGATTCAGTAAAAATATTCATGCCAAAGATGAGGCAGGGAAAAGATGTATATGGCTAACCACTTGTCAATGTGTTACAAATCAAATGTTTTTATAAATACGGTGCAGGGCACTGTAACAGGACTGGCTGTAAGTGAATTGACCCAGGGGGCTTCTTTTTAATTTTGAGTGCACTACTAAGGAGAATGTTAATTTTTCAGATATAGTACTTTAAATACTACAGAAAAAACAAATCTTGACTAGTATTCTACCAACAATTATGTTTATAAAAGGTGCAACACACAAGTGGCAGACATTACCCTGGAAGCTAAATGATGAGGAGTACACAGCTGATGGTAAGTGACCTTAACTAGTGATGTCCCACAGTTCACCAACACAATAAATATATACTGTATATACAGTACATACACACAAGACTTTACATAAAAGGTACACAATAAATTGTCACAAACTCCTAGGTGTGCTGCCAAGAACCATGACTAACACTTATTACCCCTTCATGTACCACAGCGAGGTGCTGGAAAATGTAGCTGGCAGCTCATTATTCATTATATATATTTTATATATTATCTAAGTACTGTACAGTGGCGCCTCGATTAATGAGTGTAATCCGTTCCGGCTCGTCATGTGGAAAACTCGACTTGTGAAACAACAACAAAACTGCTGTCAGAAGTGTCAGAGAACCAGCGGGAACACTCATTAATAGAGCGAAGCTCATCAGTAGAGACGTATTTTCTGCGAGTGGCTTGCTCATTACTCGAAATGCTCGTCACTCGAGGTTCCACTGTATATATAAAATATTTAAATTTGTATATTTCAAGTTCAAATTTCATCTCTGAAGTGACAACCAGATCATTTTAGGGGGAATAGGATAGTTTGTAATTGAATATCAAGATTCTGATGTGAATGGAAATTGCAGTTTTTAAATAACCAATACTGTAGCACATTTTAGAGAAACATTTTGCATTGATGTGTAACTTTGGTATAATATATATATAGCCTGTTTTATTATCGCCAATATACAGTACTTCCTGTATATTGACATTACATGATGAAATATTTGTACTGTACTAATGAGGAAAAAAAAAAGTACTGTATAACAAGTAATTTTTCTTTAAAAGATTACAGTATATATATAAAAAACATTAAATTCTTGTTACCTTAATAGTTACTATAAAATAATTTTTTTAACACAACGTTGTTTAAAATATATCTGCTTTAAAACTACATGCAGTATACTCACCCTCATTACCTAACTCTGTTTAGGTAATGAGGGTATATTCGGCTCGGTATTCTCCACTAATACATCCTGGAAGTTGGGTTACTGTATAACTATTACAGATGTTGCCAATATGTAAATTACCATATATATTTGCATTTCAAGAAAATTATATGAAATACTCTTATGGTAATCACTTCCAAGTATGGCATTTGAAAAATAGACCACTAAACAAAAAATTTGCTTGATTTTCATGACATTTCACTCAGCTGTTTAGTGATGGCTGTGTGGGGCTGCTACCAGAAGCAGCCTTGCTAATCAGGTTATCGCCAGGGGTAACCTGATCTTCGGGCCGGGCTTAAAGATTACAACTCTTAAAATCAACACCAGGTAAATTGAACTTCATTCTGCATACATGATCTGGAACAGAATTCATGCACAAAGTTTGGTTAAATTTTTATTGATAGGTAAAAAAAAGGGGGAGGGCAAATACAGATTAAGTTAATCATAGTTAAACAGTTGTAAACATCTTGTTTCATATTGCAAAGATGCCCATAACTTTGCAAGGGACAAGTTGGATGCAATTAAAAAAAAAAAGTAATTGGATGTGTGACAGATGTTAGCTGCACTTATTGATTTATCTTTTCAATTGTGTAATATGGATAATTGCATTAACAAATACACTTGAGTTCTGGAAAAAACAAATAAATTGAGTGCATAACCACTGGGCATGCAGTCAAAAGCCTGCCAAAGATAATAGTTTTTGTTATTTTTGCAGTGTCTGCTTTACATCTCGTTTTGCCATTACTAATTAATAAGTTGGATTGGCAACAAGGCAGCTCTCAATAACTGTTTATACCACACTCTCCCGATTACAAAATTCTACAAAAATTATTCTCCACTCTGCTGCAGCTAAATCCCAATGGCACTCAACATATCATTTTATCAACACTGCCACTTCCTCACACCCCTTCTTTCTCAGAGTGCACTGTTAGGTGGAAGTATGCCTGGCTTGCCAAATTGATCTTCCACCCAACAATTGTACTCCAGTGCCTCAGCTGCTGTTGCATTATACTTGATTCATTCTAACCTCATGTGTTCATATTATTAAAGCGTGCTTTGATTTTTAACTCGTATGCGACATAAAAATAAGAACTTGTGAACCAATGAGGCAATGTAGTTAAAAGTATTAATAGATATAGATATTTTTATAGCATTCTTGAATTGTGTAAGGAAAACCCTTGAAATTCTCTGTTAATGAGAACTAAACCTTCAGTTATCAAGTACTGTACTGTAATTAAAATAAGATGCCAAGCCTAGAAGACAAATTGAAATAAAGAAAATGAGCTTAACAGTAGGGCTTTTTTTTTTTTTCATGAAATGAGAACAGCTAGAAAAGCAGCAACTTTAACTTGATACAAGGAGTGAATTTGGGTCTGGGAGTTGTGAAGAGTATGCTACCTACAACATACAGTGGCTCAATTACATAACCTTGTAGAGTACAAGTAGGTGGTGACACTTTTGTATAGTACATAATTATTATTCAGATGCTCTTGTTAAGCATTTCAAAAGTTTCTGTTCAGTTTAAAACAGTTCTAGGTGTGATAATTATGTTAGAATTATTTATGAATGATTCTACTGTTGAGTGTTGACTGGAAGCTTGGATGGTGCATAGCATCACAATGTTGAAAGGTGTATAATAATGGCAAAATGTAATTCATTTTTTTAATGTATTCAATGGGAAAAATATTCAGAAATGTTTTATTTTATTATTTTAATTGGAGCTAAGGGTAGCCTTACGTGATATTACTAATGGAAACCACCGATTAACTGATAACATTTGCTACAAACTAGAACCACTTGTAAACAATGTAAAGATGAAACTTCATTATTACTCCACTAAACAATTATTAAATAGTAAAGTTATTTTTAATTGTTAGTGAAAATTAGTCAAATTAGATTATCGTAAAACATCTATAACACATGTACCAAAATAAAATAAAATAATTTTGGTTTAGAAAAACTTTTTGCACACCTTAATGAACTTCAGTACAACAAAAGATTTAAAGAGCATGGTTTGTGTGTACTGTATTTGCAAAATATATTTTAGCATTATATTACCAGCTTAATAGATCAACATTGTTCTAAGCTTGTATTATAAATTTTAAGGATGGTGCTCCTAAAAATTTTTAACGGCTCTTTAATTTATTGTGGAAATGAAATAAAGATATTTTTAAGAAAATATGGTTTTACTTTATACCTGAAGGGTTTAAAGTTTTAAAGGTTCTATACAAAAATTAAAAGGTTGTATGAGTAAGTTAAAGGGTCTTGTAAATAAAATTTTTAAAGGGTCTTGTAGGTCCTGTAAGCAAGTGCCTCTATTTTTCAAAGATGACGTATGTTTACTGGAGGCCTGAGGAAACAGGTGTGAGCCTTGTGTACCCCTGTGACTTTGTAAATCTTGCACAGTACTTGCTTCTAGTTAATACTGAGAAACCTCAGCTCCAAAAGTTCCTGAGTAGTAAAGGGCTGAGGGCGTAGATTTTCATCCTCACTGCACTATTTTTAAACTCCCAGGAAGCAGGCAAATCTCATTGGTAGGTTAAATTTTGAATGTAAACTTTATTCTCTGTATTGAGTGTGGTTGAAGGAGGTAAATGGGTATCACCAATGGTTTGCTAGTCACTACAGGTGAGATCACTTAGTTCATCTGTCTCTGATGTTGACACTCTTAAGCAGTAGATTTCCTTCATTGGAAGCCTTCAGTCTATATTTATCTATATCCAAATATCTTTATAAATGCTTTTCTTGTAGATTGGTTTGTTTCTAGTCTCCAAATGCAAGCTAGGAGTCTTGACTTTTGTGACTAGCTCAAATCTACATTAGTATGAATAGGCAGTGTAGTTCTCTCTCAATCATATTGCTGTCCCAAGAACCTCTTCCATCCAGCTCATTCTCACAATTTAACACTGTAAAATGCAACTGCATTGTCTGACCAGAAACATTTGAATCTAAGCAACCGACCTCTAACCTATCAAGGCTGATTCTCGGAAAATATAAATTTTACGGTGCTTTAATTGTTAATATAACCCAGTAACCTTGACAGATTAGTCTATTACATTATAAATGTGATATACTATATTAGGGGAGAGGACAGGTTGGTCCATCAGCGCACACACTAACACTATGACCACCGTATACTGACTCAACTGGGAGATTTTTCCAGGTCTCATTGCCTGTGGCACTTTAGCTTAGCCATAGTTGATATTAAAAAATATCACACACATTCCCTTCTGATGTTGTTGTTGTTGTTGTTTTAGACTCGGCTACTCAACAACAAGTTCCAAGCAGCACGGTCTATGGTGAGCCTGTAGTGGACTTCCAATATCTGGATGATCAATTTATCACAAAAATGACTACTAATATTAAACACTAACAAATTATTTAGAACTATTACCAGTCTAATAGTAGTAAGGATTCTCCCAGAAATAACTGATAATTTCAAACTTACTGTCTTTAAAGTTGTGGTGTTATAGGTGGCAACAGTTCAGGGTTGTGATCCAGCATTGTGTTGTGACTGAGACTGAGGCAGATCATCTAAAGAATAAAGTGGTGTGAAAATAGGTTTTTCATGGATGCACTTCTGTTGTTGCCACGACCACCTGTTGCTGTCATCAAAACTATCCTTTATGACGTGCAACTTTTCTAGCCTTTCCAGTACATCTTCACGTCTTGCGAGATTTGGCCCAGAGCGAATTATTCTTACTGCTTCTCCCTAAGAAAATATTGTCCATGTTACCAATGGTAAAAAAAATGTTTACTTTGCACATTTATTTATAAAATACAGTACCATTTATTGAAGTGGTATATCCAGTGTCAAGTCTACTAATGAAATGCTCAACACAGCTGTAGCACCAGTTCTACAGATCAATAAACCCAATATTGAATGTAATGAACCACGTTTTTCTGGAGGAGTCCTTGTGGCTCCCTACAGCTATCCTCCTGAGATTGCTTCATATCAAAGGGTCACTTCAGCCACAGAACTTCCATTTGGTCTACCAGGAACCAGAATCAGAACCTGGCCCCCTCACAGAGGCACAGGGTAGGCCAATTTGACAATCTGCCACCCCACCAGAAAAAGCCTCAAGAAAGTCAGCAAAACTAAACTGACAACTGGAAGGTACACAGGAAATGAAGCCTCAAAACCACCAAACAACTCTTAACAATTCACACAGAACAAGGAATCCACTCAAATGAGCCCAAAATTCGTTAGTACTGGTAACCTCTACTAGGCAGCCAGGATCCAGCTTCCAGCCAGCTGGCTCATTAAGTCAGTTCTGCCCCTGATGCTGGTATCCTCACACCTTTAGTACTTACAGTTAAGCTTCTCAGGCAAGCACCAAAGCTTCGAGCTAAGTGCCGGCCATCCTTGGGCTTGGTTGTCCTTTGGAGGGCAAACTTGTTGTGTACTGCTTCAAGTTTTAGTTTAAATTTCGCATGCGTGTTTAGATTGGGCTTGTTCGGCGAGCTTGGCTCGTTTGGCATTTCAGGCTGCACGTACTCGGGGTTCTCTTCCTGTATGCCCACTAACGCTGCCCTTGCACAGTCAGAGCTTTCCGTCTCTGGTGTGTTAAGGAGTTTGCCATTGACAGGCATGTCCACCAGGTGCGGGAAGTGGCAAGGTACTGTGAGAAAGCCACAATCCCATCAGGTCGGGAGGGAGGACGAGAGCAGGTAACACGAGGATACATGGGTGGAGGGTGGACATCAGCCCAGATGATCATATGCCAGGAAGGGCCAAAGGACAGAGGAGGACTGAACAGGAAGGCGGGATCAAGAGATGGAGGGGCCCACAGGGGATAAAGATCAAAGAGGTGGGGTGCCAACATGATAATGATGGGTAGGGGAAGACTGGGAAAGTGGGGCAGAAACACTGGTCAGTAGCACCAGAGACACACACAGACTCGGATTGTAGGAGAGCGGGAAAAGGAGGAGAGCTTGTGGACATGTTGGGGTCCAACGCATCGAAATAGTTGTGGATATGAGGAGGGAAGGGAAGGGGAGCACAATGTAATACACAAGCATAGGTCATACCAGAAAAAGGAGGAAGAAGATGAACCTAATCTTAGTTTGGGGGGGGGGGGGGGGGGTGAGATCCTGTCCAAGGTGGAGGATTGCCTGTTTGAACTTATAATGGAGACAAGAATGCAAAAATCCAAGGCGGGCATCACCACAGTTGATGGAGCAAGCACGAGAAGCACAGTCGTAAAATGGTCTGAGGAACCACATAAGAAGCAAAAAGATGCCTTACTAACACATTTCGAGGCTCCGTGTCTGAATTTCCAACACCTATTGCAGAGGTGTGGATAAGGGGTATATTCCTGAATGGTGCATCTGGCACCAACAAGAATTACCAAGGACAGGAGGGTTCAACTATCAAAAGTTACCTTGAAGACCTTAAGGAAATGATAATAACTGTGAGGCAGTTATTATCAAGTGAATGGCTCAAGTCCTAGATGAATCAAAAGGGAATGCATGGGTCTCCATGCACAGCTAAAGCATATGGGTGTATTTTGTTTGTATCATCACAGCAGGCAGGAGAGGTGAGTAGGAGCCACCCCCCACTCCCTCTTATCAGTGGGCATTGCAGAAGAGCCCCCACATCACATCAAGGCACCACCCACTGAGGGGGGTATTTTAAAACAAATATTTTATGTATACAGTAATTATAATATTTTACAATCAATATAAAAGTTTATAAAGCACATGTTTTAGACCAAAAGTTTATACAAATTTAATTTTGTGTTCCTTTCTGAAACAGAAATTTGCACACTCTCATTTTGAAGAATTATTACCAACGGGATATACCTTATCAGGATTCTCCGAATATAACTATTTTGGATGTGTCTGCTACACATCAATATTACCTTTATCCACTGCTGTAATTTCAGCGGGCGTGTTTGATCGATGGTAGCAGATGGACATTTAACTAAGGAAGCTAGTAGCTCTTTGAAGTCATAAATCCCATAGAAGCCCACAACATCAGTCATCCCAATGATTTCCCCATGAGATATAACAGTACTGCTACTGGCACCTTGAAATATACAAAACAAAACAATTATTAGCAGATGATGGCCACATGCCAAGAGTTAAGGGCATCAAACTCATCAGCATGGAAGAAAACAACATTTAAGACTTGATAATACAAAGAAATAAATTGTGAATTATTTCATCTCATCTCTGGCCTCAATGCACCTTCATCTCATTTTTTTTGCCCATTTATAAACAGCTAACTTGGCATTTCTCAATTACATCTAATAAAGATCTTACAGACAAAAATTAATTTTCAATAAAGCCTGCTTTCATGTCGGTGTTCCTCTTTGTAGTTATTATGGTTTAGCACTTCATCCTGATAATTACCTTTGTTTTCTGCTGCAACATAATCATTACTATGTGTAAAATAGTGGCTTATTTTTCCTATCTCTTCCCTGTACTAAAGGAGGAGCCCATCTAGAACTGAGCATACATGCAGCATTAATATACATACCAGTCACTAACCCTTGGAGGGTGCAACTGATAAATGCTGACATCCCCCCATGGTTTGCAAGAAAAAATTGTTCTGAAAATTTTGCTGTAAAAATTTATAGTGGTACCTTGGTGTACAACTGCCCTAGAGTACAATTTTTTCGTATATGATGTCAAATTTATAGTAAAATTTGAATGGGTGTACGTTTTCCTTGGAATACAACGTCTGTTGATATGTGTTTGGGTCAAGCGAGTGCGTGGCGCTGAGGCGATTGTTTACCAGTGTAATACACCTACCTGCCCAGTGACGTCCGCGCTTGAATTCTTTGTAAAGAATTTAATTGTTTTTGTGCTTTGTTTTTGGTTTCTGAACATAAAAGTTATTATACTGTATATCATGCCATTGGTCCCAAGAAAGTCAGTGGTAAAATTTAACCTAAGAAAATAGTTGTGAAGATGACGATAAAGGAAAAACAAGAGATCATTCGTAAACATGAACATGGTATGCGGGTTGATGATATCCCTTTCTTATTAATTAAGAAAATGTGTGCAGTATGGGAAGAACTGCAAAGTTTTGCTGAAGTGTCACCCAGATAAAGCTGTAACAGGCCATTGCATTGACCTTTTTAATGACAATGCGATGTCTCACTACAGACAAGTGTTAAAACTTAGGGAAAAACAAGTGTCAGTAGACAGGGTTTTAGTGAGACAAACAAGCAGTGAGCCACAACCAGGTCCTAGTGGTATGCCTGCAAAATGTAGAAGAGAGAGAGTGTACCCCAGAAAAGTCATGTCTGCCTGATGTTATAATGAGAAGGGGATTCCCCTTCCAAACACTAACACCTCTTCTCCCCTCTTCACCATCTTCCATACCCCAACAAGAGTCCTCAATAAAGGTAAGATATACATACTGTATTGTAGTACAAAATGAGTGGTATTCAGTATAAAAAAAAAATTTAAGTTAATATTTTTGGAGGGTGTGGAACAGATTAATTTAATTCACATTATTTCTTATGGGAAAATTCGTTTTGGTTTATAAATTTTTGGTCTATGTTGCGTCTCCGGGAACGGATTAGGATCGTAAATGAAAGTGCCACTGTACTTGGAAGTTAGGCAACTGTTGTTGGGACTATCCTGGAGGTCAGTAGTCTGATCTTGAAGGACCTCGATACAAACCTCAAGTACATAAAGTATATACACAGGTTTTTTGTATCTGACATCAGAACTTGAATTATATACTGTATAGAGTACTGTATAATATCTGACTAACTGAGAAAGATTCTGCAAGTACCACCAAACTCTGTGTTCCTAGGGAACTTATATATTAATAGAAAATATACTGTAAAAACTCGTTACTCACCAGGATAGAGCTCTATTTTAAAACCACTGTACACAAATCTACAATCTGTAACCAAGTATTTATTGCAGTCAGGCACCAGTTCTCGCTGTAGCTTTAGCAGCAGGTTCCAGCTCTCTGGTCCAAGTGTGCTGTGGGTGGAAAAAATTAAAGTGCTGGTAAGAATTAGAATTAAGAATTATCTTAGTATAGTATTAAGAAAATAAGTGCAGAACATAAAATGCAGAAAATATTTATATACTAACTAACTGATGCAAGAAACAACTAATTATAGTACAGAAACTGTCCATTTTGAAAATAACCAATTACAGGTCATATAAATAAAAAATAATTTTTTGTGTATCTGGTTTGGAGCTCGGATCTATTCTTGTTATACTGTATAACAGTGTGTCCCCATGAAAAACTATGTCCACAAACACACCACATTCCTGGTATGGCATATTTCTTTGTCTTCATGAAGACATCCCCCCCCTCTCATGCACAGCCTCTCACATGTTCTCTCTACAGCATATATTTTGCCTTTTTTCTGATGAAATCACACACTTTTGGATTTTTTCTCTCTTTCAATATAGTGCTTCCATGTCTCACTTAACTGTTGCTTAGCACCGAGTCCATTACCTCACTACTTTAATTTCTTCATCCAATTTTTTTTTACATCATTGTAAACAAAAAAAATGGATGAAGTTTTTTACATTAAAGTGGATTTGGCATTAATTTTCAGCCACGTTGTGACTTGTGACACGTTGCACCGATAAGCACTTTTACTTTTTTTACCTCTTATTTTCTTTATATATAAGCCTTATAATCATCAAATTAAAATGCAATTCAGATCTGTTCTAATCCTTAACATTTACAGGTATACCTGTATATTTCTTCTAGTAATTTCTTGGCATCATTCTGCTTGTGCACTTAATATTAACTGCATACCTGCAACTTGTGAAAACTTACCTGGAATTAAACGATATAGAATCAGCAAGTTCTTTTACAGGAAGACGAAAAGTCTTCATAAGATTATTAACAAGAACAGTTTCGTACAGTCTAAACGTGTTCAATGCAACGATATTTCTATCCCATGAGCACAGCCAACCTCTGCATGCATTCAATGGACCAAGAAGCCTTGTCGAGTTCTTTGAATTACAGTCTGAGGGTTTCCTCTTCAGTAGCTCCTTGATATTGTCTATTGTTACATTAATTTCTTTACTATGTTCTCGCCAAGGTTTTTTTGACTCAAGTGGCTTCCTACGGATATTCTTTCCTTCACCCTTGGCCAGCTGAGGAGTCAGGGGAGCAAGGTACCTAAAAAATAAATAAATACATATCTAATTATTCCATAGTTGTCTCTAAGTCATACAATCGCTATATCAATACCAGCCCAGTTTCACAGTCTGGCATAGCTTGTGCATGATAAAGCAAGAGTTAGAGATGTTCTTGGGATTACATATAGAAGGTATCTGATAGCATGTGTGTGGCAAGACTAGATAATTAAAATACCATTGACTGCAATGTTAAGAATAAATAGCTTACCTGTCAAGTGATGCCTTAGTTTTAATTGATGGGGAATTTAATGTAGTGTTCAAGCCTCTATTTTCTCGAATTTTCCTGGAAAAATAAAATAAATTTACTATACAAAATACAATAAAAAGACTTGACATACTGTATCTTATGTTGCCATCCCTATATTTATCTGCATGTTGTACTGTCCTATCCTGTTCATAAAGCCCCCAAAATTTGACCATTTTCAATTATCCTTAAATAAAAGGCAAGAAGTTCATGCAAACCTGCAAAATGAATAGACACTAAGCCCCGAAATCATCTCAAGATAACCTCAAGAATACTGTCTAGACTGGAAAAGTTTGACTACTGTATGTACCAAACAAATTTCAAGTTCAAATAATCTGGTTATGAATATTTATTTTTTTTGTTATATGCAAGCCCTTATTTTAATCAAAGACTGCAATGGTAATGAAATTTACCAAACAGTGATGACGAAGAAGACCTAGAAATAGCCTCTGTTCGTAATAATTCTGACTTCTCTCATTCCCACAAGCCAATATATTGTATTTGGAATCATATAAGAGCACATCACTAAGGAGGAAACAAATATCTCATTATGTGGAGGTATTCCACTTGGATGCTTCCTAAGGCAACATCCTTTTTTGACCTCATGGCAAGGGATCATGCCAAACAGAGCAGGGAACTTACCAGTTCAAACTCGCTGAAGGTAAAAAATTAATTAGTAAGAGACAAATGAAATTACTGTAGTCTTTAATAATTTTCTTAAGACGGCACTCACCTGACTTCCTCTTGGTATTTGTCTGTCTCAATCTTTGCTTGTTCAGTATAAAAACATTTTGTCTCTGAGTCTAAAGCTTTCCATCTATCAGCCATCTCTTTTGCGATGAAAGCAAAGTCTGTTCCAGGGTTTTCAGATAACACTGTGGATAAAAAGACATACCGTATGTGTACATATTTTTATATAGGTGTTGTGAGCAGTCCCACTTGGTTGTTCCCTTCTACTGGTTTCATGGCTGTGGTCATGACCACCCATGGCAGTGGGACACTGTACACTGCAACGGCAGGGAACATTCAGGTGTCCCTGTAGGGTCATGACCACTGAGGCACACACTGCTGAATGCTCAGAGACTTTGCAATACATGAAATAATAAGAGAAGTTTAAATTGACAAGCATTATAATATAAAACAAAAGTCATACAGTAGTTTATGCTAAAAATGTAGAGAAATTTGGATGTTATAATAATGTTGTATGAAGCCAAGAAAGAATAACTTATTTACAAGACAAAATCTCCAGCTCTCCCTACACACAGTACAAAAACACTATACTGTAGCTAGATAGGAATATGTTCAACAAAAACCAAAACATTACCTTGAGCTCTTATATCTCTTGAATAAAGAATAAAGGGACTAGATGGCTTCTTCACTGGTTTGCCATGAATATAATCATAGGCAGCTGGTCCTAAAGAATTAACTTTAGTTTTCTTGGGTGGCGTTCCTTGTGAATCTTGAATCTCACTTGCTCGTTTTCTTAAACCACTCCCCAAAGAAATTTTCCTTTTGGTTAATTTGGCTTCAGCACTTGGAGCATTTACAAGCTGGACAGTCTGCAGAAAAATAAAGCATTGGGTGAATTGAAATGCCCCTTTCCGAGGTCACCTCAGTAGCCCCTTCATACCTAATGCCATTAGCCTTTGTTGGGGGCACAGACTTCACACCAGACTCTTGAGTGACATAACATTACAGAATTTTGAAATCTTTCAAAACACTTAAAACTCCCTTTGAACCAAAGCTAACCATTCAAAACTCAACACTCTGAAAGAGCTAAATACTCATCATCCAGCTATACTGACCACCATTTGATTGCATCATAACTGTGTGAAGAGTTGGGAGGAAGGACAAGCCCCACCTTGTGCCCAAACTAAAAATAAGAAATAGATCTAGGGGGTAAAAAAGGGAAATAAATATTGAGAATAGGGATTGAGCGGTTGCTCAGAAATGGTTTTTTTTATTTTACTTAATTCTCAATTTCTTACGACCTCCTCAGTAGCTTCTCTAGATCTTTTCTCAGTGGTGTTAAGAGAACCTGTAGAAGACAAGAAGAGATGGGAAACTTTGTTTCTGTGAAGGGAAGGGAAGGGCAAGAGAATGCACCAAGCCATTACGATTATATCGTATACCAGTCGATTTAATGTTAATATGTATGGCCAAAGAGCCAGCTCAACCCCTGGGAGCACAATTAGGCAAGTACACGCACACACAAGTATATCAAGAAATATTCACTCACCCTCTCTCAAGATCTTGTTACAAAATTACCTGAATATCTTCATTACTTGTTATTAGACCTCGGCTCCAGCATCCTTTACTGGTTTTCTCTGTAGCTGGAGTCAAACTCTCTTCCGAGCCCACATCATCTTCCCTGTTATTTTCACTATTAAAATTATTGAAATGTCCAATATGTGAATTTTCCTTCGCTGCTCTGGAAACGTCACAGTCCTGGTCACCTACGTTACTTGTGTTCAGCTCCTCAGATGGAAATGCTGCAATCTTGAAAACAGGAATTCCATCTGATCCCATAAGAGACTCGTGAAGGAGACTGCTATCGTGGTTTGTCCGAGACAATTCTGAACTCTCTCCATTAGCATGTTTTGAGAACTTATTTGCAGACTGTTCAGTAGTGTCAGGATTACACATGTGACTTGTTTTGTTATTATTACTTGAACTTGAAATAGACAAAGGAGATATACCAGATATATTAGGTTCAACATAATTTAAAACTTCTGTATCCTTAGAACAAGACAAGCTAAGATCATTTTCAGATTCTTCAATTTGACTTCTCAAGCTTCCAACACGGGTAATGCTACTTTCCGATATAGAAGGACAAATTCCCTGAGTTTCGTTGTTTGGAGTGCTCGAGAAAAATTTTGGGTCAATATTAGTAATATTTTCTTTGTTGCTATGCTCACTGGCAAGACAATTCATTCTGTCAACCACTACTTGATCTGCAGAACTACAGCTTTCTTTAACTCCATTTACAGCATGCAACTCTTGTGACCGAGGATCGAAAGTTCCTGCCGTTTGCCTCCTAAGCATGGCAGAGCTTCCAACTACCTTAATGTTGCTACAGTTTTTATTATTTATGCTGTTTTTTCTATCAGTTTGAGTCTTTTTTGTAGTCATGATATTACTTAAATCACACTGTTCAAATGGATCTTCTGCATCTTTCTCACTCAGCAGATTACCCTCTCCCAGACGAGAAGAATCAAAGCCATCTTGAAGCCGATTATTCTTTCTAAGTATTTCTGAATTTGTCTCTTTCAGAGGCTGTGTAATACAAGAGAAGGTGCAAGTAATGTCTGTGTTAACTTCAGAGCAAGGAGCACCACCTTTCTTCCTGGCAGATGTTTGAGTATTATCTAGAGGACCATACAGTTCTGTTAGCATTACCTTCAGCGACTCAAGAACCACATCCTGAAAAGAATAGCAATGACCTTTTAGCTCTACAGTGCCAAAACATATTTAGTTATACATACATAGATAATATGCACAAGGAAGTCAATTAAGTTTATACAAGGATCTTTCATGCCATAGGAGGCATTGCAACATAACTTGTGAGGAGAACAGTAATGCTCCAACCTAGAAGCTGCCTCCTAGCACAGTATTTCCTAGTACAGTATTTCTATTCTAAAACCAACTTACAGATTGTGCCAACTATATTTTATATATAATATATAATTTTCTTTTTTTTTTAAACCTAGAAGGGGTACCACCTCTGGTGTAAGTGTAGGGACCCATAGCCTCGGAGAAGAAAATAAAGAGAAGAGAAGAAAAAGAAAATAAAGAAATCATATATATATATATATACTGTATATTTATTTTTTTCTCCACATACCATAGTATTCTATGACAAAGAAAGTCAAACAAGAAATATTCATTTGTTACAACCTCATCTTTCAGCAGAATCCTAGTCTTGTTAGGCTCTAAGTTGACGTCAAGTGCATCTGGCGGGACAGTCAGGACAACAACACCAAAGGGATAACGCCCATGACACCCTTCCATTTTGTGGCTGTAATAAGCTTTTACCATCTGAAAGAAGAAAATAAACACTCAAAACTAAAAGCATTTCCCCTTGAAATTGAGATAACTGGTAACTTGAAGCAGTATTACGCTTGTTACCAGCAAATGTCTTGGGACTAAATACTGACTGCAATTAACAACAAGTTTTACACACACAAAATTAACTTAGGATACTCTTGTATATCTTAGTAATCAGAAGCTATCATCATCAAACAATATACAATATCTACATGTCAGTATGTGTGGCGGAACACCACCATTCAAGAATAAGCCTTAATTTTCAATGTTTTATTCAGTACAAGTCTTATACTCGGTACAAGCCACAGGTCATATTCCCACGGAATCAAAAGGACACATGCCGCCTATAGTGTCTGTATCAGTACCAAAAGACAGGCCAAGCATTCCTCCTTGCCAAAACCATGACATCTCCTGAGAGCCATTAGAACCATATGGCACCAATTAGAATTCATTCACTGCTGAAATAAATTCAATCAGCATCTTGCTTGACCCACGATTGCCTTTAGATGCATATATAATGTGACTCAATGTTCAAGGGTCACACATGTAAAATAATTTCACTAGAAGCTTAAATACTAGTATATTCATGTAAGGATACAAGAGTGGAGCCTATCATATAAGTAATTAAAGCTTAAGAACTTAAATGGTGTATTTAATAATCTAGAAGCTGAGCTTATATTTTGCTGGTACCTTTTCAAATGACTTGTGGTTAACAGGTCGCTGGTTGACCATTATGAAAAGACGGTCAGCTGTCGTTCGGCTTAAGTTCTGGTTGGGGAGACACCTGGGGTCTGGAAGATGCACTTCTAACTTCATCTGTTGAATGGTAAATAAACTCATCAAGATACACAACATAAAAATAGTATTTTGAATTTTTTTCTTATCATTTTGAATTTTTTTCTTGGGTGTTTGCCACTTTTTTGTTGGGCATTTGTAAACGCCCAACAAAAAAGTGGCAAACACCTAAAAATAAAAGTCCTAAAAGTCCCCCCCCCTAAAAAAAAAGCCAAACTGGAACTTTTTTACTTTTTGTTTGAAGGACTTAAGACTTTTTGGCAGTTTGCAATGTTTTTGGGACATTTTCAATTTTTTTTTTTCGATACTTTTTTGTTAGCAGTTGGGCAATTTTTTGTTTGGAGTGAGGGGCTTTTGAAACTTTTTTTATAGGCAAGACAAAAAAACACACGCACGCCTACTACCTCACTAGAACAAAAATCTCCCCTTAATAATAAATACCACTTGACAAAGAAGCATTAAAAGTATCAGCTTCATATACTGTACAGTAAACAAAACCTGACTAACATAAGAATATGCTCTTATATTTTACAATTACTGCTGGTCAAGTTAGGCATCACTGGTTCTCCAGACTAATATCTCAATACAACTATTATGAAATATTCCTGAAAATACAAGTCCTGACCTTTCTTTGATACAAACAATAAGTTGGGTGGATTGTTTGGTGTTTGTGGGAGGCTGATTTTGTTTATATTTGCTTTGCAGGTAAAGGGGATTATCTCCTGGGGGGAACTCGCCTCTTCACTTCTGGGGATCACAATCAACGCTGGTCTCAACTTCCGATGACTCTTGTCATATCTACTTTTCAAGCCGATGATCGAACTGCCCTCATTTCAATAAATTTTTATGGTCCTCATTATTTATGCTTCTAATGACTAGCAAGTTCAGTTATCTTCTTACTAGTTGTGTTACGAGTACTAGTAGTGACAGACGTGAAAACTGATTTTTTATGTCGATATATAACATTAACAAAAGAATGATTTTTAATACTGTACTGTATATGGTCAATTGTTTTACTGCACACACAAAATATTTTGTGAAATAGACCTTAAAAAGCTTCAACTTTTACTGTATTGCAATTCAAGCAGTATTTAATAATTACAATATCCGATGCTAGCACACAACTGAGATATTGTCAACTCGTATCCCTATACAAACTTGTTTATCTAATCCTTTACACTGATTAATGGTCTCATTGTTTACCTCATGTTGAGTCCTTGTTGAATCCCCCTCACACTGACCCAAGAGTCCACTAGATATTGATGATATCACAAAACAAGTGTGTGTGTATAAGCAGATTTAGAACAATAAATTTTACCTGTATTTACTTATTCCATATAACAGTACTGTACACAAATTATTTAAACTACACTTTATCATTAAGTTGCAATCAATGATTACATTTTATAATCTTTTATGTACTTACATCTTGAATTGTTTTAACTTTTGAAACAAAATCTTTAAACACAGCTGGGAATACAGTCATGAGGGCTGTACGAATATCTGGTGCTGGATTCTTCTGGATAATACTGGACCTGTTTGAAAAATTAGGCAGTGAATGTAATGAAATGCCCTGGTGGGCCCCTCTAATAGCTTCCCAAGCTTAACTGTTATTTCACCAAGCTTAGCTAATCATGCCAGGCCTCTGAAACCCATTATTCATTTAGAATTGCATTTCACAAATATCAATGCATTTTTCTAAACATAACTATTAATACTGTGCATCATTTGAAATTTAATCCTGCATATTAGAATTGTAAAGTACAACAAAACAAATGACAAAAACAGCGCATTCTTTATCTCAAAGATGTGATTCATGATTGTTAGGGCATTGTATTCATAATATACCAGTGCTATTGGGATTCTTGCAAATGACCCTACTAGTACTAGGCAGGCATACATGAGAAAAGCCAAGCCCAGCCCATATGACTGCAGAATGTTTAATCATAAAGACTCAAAGCCTTTTCATGTTCTGCCTGACATTCCAAGGACTACCAAGTCACTGTCTAGCAAACAGGCAGTTTACCAACCTGGCCACTACCCCCAGCTGCCACCAGATGGCAAGACTCGAGTCAATGATGTCTCATGTCTCATGCCTCAAGACCCATCACATTCTGATGGAGGCAGAGGCAAAGAAAACACACTGCACACAGGAATCCAGGATTTAAGGTAGGGAACAGTGTCATCCTAGTTGTTATTAAACTAGGAGCTTTTTATATTCACTCGAGCTTAATTTCTAGTTTATTCTACTCAAATGATAACTAAGGCAAGAGTATTACAAAGGTGATAAAAATATAGACAAAATAAAGAGGAAGAACTCGCCTGACATGCAAAGTGGGTTCCCAAAAGCTGCAGGACAGCCAGTAAAAGAAACTTCCCAAAGAGACCCAGCAGGAAACCTAAGCCTTGACAGGAACAAGGCAGTTAACCTGGAGGAGAGCTATTTGAGTGCAATACACTAAAGGTACAAGTTAAAAACCTTGGCAAGATATAACAAATGGAAAAGGTGGATCACCAGATGACCTTAGTGGAGATGATGCAACAGGATATGGCAAAGAACATCATCTTAAGAGTTAGAAATTTCTAAACTCAAGGATAAACCAAAACCGATTCAACTTGACCACTCTACGATGAACCCAAAAGATACAGACCTTAACTACAGGGAAGCCATGGCATAAAGAGTAAAGAAGAAAACCACAAGTTTAAATCTGTTGGAAAAACCTGGAGATGCTAACATAAGGCAACCACAGGAAGGCATTATATAACTATGCAAGAAATATTAAGTCTTCAAAAGGGCTCTAGATACATTCCTATTGGAGTTGCCTGATCAGCTGGATTGTAAAAGCTGTGTGGATCTGTGAACCATGATCAGCAATAGCTTCACTGATCTGGATATTATATGAGAAGCCCGACTCCAGGCCAGCCAGCATCCATAAAAAAAAAAGCAACAGATAAATCAGAGTATTACCATGCTGCTAATTACTGGAAAGAGATAGTTGGATTTATTGCTCTTTAACATAACAATTTGTAACATAATGGCATAGAAATGGAGGCTAATTAAAGAATTTTTTTTTTTTTTACATAATGCATTGCTGTAGTTGGCTTATAATAATATGAAAATATACCCATAGTAGCTAGGAGTAATAACTTACTTGTCATGAAATAATGTTAGATGTGCATTGGGAACAGCTAGAGACAGAGCCAATACAAGATCCTCCACTTTTTTAAACTCTTCCCTGCGCCGTTTTGGGTTATTGAAAAATTGCTTCCGTACTGGGACATTCTTGAACAGCTTGCTGACTACAATTGTTGTTCCTGTGAATATGGTAAATAAGTTTAATTATTTTATTTCTGAAATAAAATGGCATGAGCTAAAAGCATTTTCATCATAGAACATGATGAAAAACCCCTTTCTGGGTGGTACCTCAGTAGCCCCCCTTAGCTTATGACACAGGCATCAGGGTTACAGTAGTCACCTCAGGCTTCTTTTTCACCTCTGAGAGAAATAAGCTCAAAGGACTACTAAGAGAGCCCCTCCCAGAAAGTGAAAAACACAGTTTAGGAATGTGCTTGAACTAGGCATAGAGGTGGGCTGGTGGGTTGTGGGTGGGTTAATTAAGCAGGTAAAAAATATTTAAATTTATTTTTTATTTATTTATATATACAGTACAAGAGTTCTTACATTCTTGTACAGCCACTAGCAAGCATAGCGTTTCAGGTAACACTAAATAGCTAGATTCTTTGCACCACGAAAACTACAGCACTACGAACCATGCACAAAATCACAGATGTGAAACAGCCCTTGTGCTCTTCAATTTTGGGTCTTAAAACTAAACTGAGTACAGTATTGTATCTGTGAATCCAAATTTGTACTGAATGAGGGTTGACCATGTCTATACTGTACAACAAAACCTTGAAAAAAAAAAAAAAAGCTTACAAGAATTGTAAAGTACAGCAAAACAAATCCAATGAAAAAATATCCACTCATTACTCACCACAAGGTGTTGCTGCAGGCCGCTTTCCAATTACATTTCCTTCTTGGTCAAATGAATACACATGTCCCATTGGATCCTCCTTGGTTTTGGTAGTAATAATGATTTCTGCTACAGTACACAATGATGCCAAAGCTTCCCCACGAAAGCCATAGGAAGTTAGAGATGCTGTACAACAATGAGAGAACTACATTATTACAATATTGTATATCTATCATGAGAGTGCAACTTTATTATTCAGCTGAATTAAAAACTTTCATATATATATACATATATAACTACAGTACTTCCAACTTCTCACACTTGGATATTTTTGTGTCATATGTTGTCATGAGGAGCAATGTGACACAGGAGACAAAGGTGTACAAAAAAGTGTTGCAAAGGTGTACAAAAGTGCTGGGAAGTCTCTAAAAGAGGAAAGTGAAAAAGGCTACAATATGCCAGAAAATGGGACGTAGAGAAGGCATTTCTTTCAAGTTATTTCAAGTCAAGTTTCTAGTATAACTAGATAGAAAGAGAGAAGAGTGGCTGAAGAGGAAACAACCTCATATACTGTAAAACTTAATTAAGTCAGAAATCATTATAATTTAACTGTACCCAAATCAGAAAAGGATGAAATTTTAGATGTAAAATGTGGCTTTGCAACAAACTCCATATCTTCTTCATTAATGCCAATTCCATTGTCTCGAACTTCAAGACGAGAAAATCCACAGTCTTCCTGCAAAACAGACAACTGTCACCACACAAATCATTATATTTTGCAGATCATTTTATATAAATACACAGTACAGTATATTCAAAGTACTGCTTTACATAATGGAAAATTGTATAATATTAGATAGTTATTTCAAGGACGTCCACAGATAATTTAAGTATACTAACCAATTTAATAGAAACTATAGTAGCTTCAGCATCAATTGAATTTTCCACAAGTTCTTTAACAATAGAAACTGGCGTAGTAATGACTTGTGTACTCTTAATGAGCCGAACTGTGTCTTGAGGTAGAGCATGCAAGGCCATTATCATACACCTGCCTCAAAATCTCCACAATTCAACACAAGACCATCTGAAAAACAATAAAAGTTACATTGCAAAATAAATTAGTGTTCATTAATACTCAACAAAACATGGAATGGACAAAGAGGGGATGTTGATCAGTAGGCCTATAAACAAATTAGAAAATAAGTTGAAGCCTTGAGGATAATTCTCGAAGACATAAGATGAAAGTGAAACAAAGAGTTGTTATTTATTTCACAAAATTACTGTACTGTGAAATAGAAAAATTATGTCTGAAATGGCTATAAGAGCATCTGCAGCTCCAATAGCTACTACTTCTAGACTTAAATCAAGTTGGTATTCATATGTTTGCACCAATATGCTTCTTCCTATCCAATCAGGAAGCACAGATGATGCAACCAAATGGCCATATAAGGCTGCAGACGCCACAGTTCAGGCCAATTCAATCACAGTTTAACAAGGAGCAACATCTGTAGCATTTGAGATGTTAACACTGTGAACAAAATACTGTATAACAAAGTCTTTGAGAGCCGGGATGAAGTGTCCAGTCCAGCGTCCCTCCCTGCCCAGTAATCAGACACATGGCACTCTCACACCTGACCATAGCAAGTTCTCACTACACCATAGGAAGCTATATTTATCTAGCCTAGCCTAGTCTGAGGTAACTTAAACGTGTCTGAGCCAGAGGTAACATCACTACCTTGACAACGGTTCAACTCCGCCTACATGGTTATTTTATAAAATAATGACAAGACATAATATTCCTGCCTTTTAATATTTAGTGACGCGAAGAGTATATTTAGTAAGGCTTCTCTTCCTGCAGCTGAGGCTACGAGCTGTAGTGTGGTACAAACTTCTCGTCACTAATCAACTCTCAACTTGGCTTTCCCGCACTAGTGTGTGGCTTCGTGTGCATGACCTCGACTTCCTTTATTCCTCACACATAGTTAAAATGTATATAATGTGCATCTTTTAAAATAATCGTATTACTGTAAAATTTAACTATTAAGGTTTAATACAATGAAACGTTGTTGGTTAATTGCTGAACAAAAATAATTTATATCACTATAAGATAGGATGTTAGGAAAGGGTTTCAGACATTGTAAACAACCCAGTGACCGCTAGCATAAAATATCTGCATTTACCTGAATTTACCTGAGGGCCGCTAACACTCTAGTGGCCTCGACGATGACTGGAAGCCAGTGGCTTGTCAAGGTACCCCCCCTTCCATTTGCTTTCCAGCTTGGTTTTAAAATTCAATAGTTTTGGCATATGTAGTTTCGGCGGGTAGGCGGTTCTATTGGTTTATAACCCTGTGGGTCCCAAATTGTGGTTTGTTGAGCTTGAAACCGTTGCTCCTTGTTTGTGTTACTTCTGACCTTTTGAAGAAATTGTCATGTCAACATACTTCAAATTGTTCAGTATTTTTAAAGTTTTGATGAGATCCGCCCTGTCACATCTACTTTGTAGTGTTGTTAGCTTTGTGGCCCTCGACCGTTCCTTCCCTTAGCTCTAAAATGATTTTTGGTGCTCGATGTTGAACTTTTTCCAAAGCAGCTATGTCCTTATGAAGATAAGGTCTCCATGCTTGGATACAGTAATCCAAGTGCACAAGAGATTTATACAGTTGAATAACTACGCTGTTTTCCTTAAAGTAAAAAACACGCTTGATTATTCCTAAGGTTTGGTTAACTTTTTTTTACTGTCGCTCCTACTTGTGTGTAATTTTCAGTGAGTTGTGGATTCTGACTCCAAGGTCCTTTTCTTCATCAACCTGATGCTGGTAATGTTATTAATTTGGTAGTTATGACGTGGGGTTGTTATGCCCCATATGCAACATCTTTCATTAGTCGATATTGAAAAGCATCTGACCATTTGTGGAGTTCATGTAGATCTCTTTGTAAGGCGTCAATATCATTTTCACTTCCCACTTTACCATAGATCTTACTGTCATCTGCAAATTTGATGACGTGGTTTGTAATATTCTTGCTTATGTCAATGATGTACTGTATATGATAAAAAGGGTTGGCCCCAAAATGGACCCCTATGATATCCTACTCACTACATTTCTCGAGATTCAGTCCTATTTAGCACAACTCTGTTTTCTTTGTTTTATCAATTCCAGTATTCTACAATTTATTCCATGTGCCTGTAATTTCCTTGCTAGGCTTTCATGTAGTGAAAAGCTTTAGCAAAATCCATGTATACTACTAGATAAAGGCAGTATCGTCAGCAAATAGTTTAGATTTCATGACGTTAGAGAATCACGAAGGAAACTATAGTAGCTCAGTCTTTGATGTTCACTACTGGTTATAATTAGCCAGCGGATATATTAAGTTAATTTGCTCGTTATGCGGTATTCGAGAAGCAATTAAGTAATCTAGCATTATCGGGGTAAGGGAGGGAAGGGGTGTGGCCCGAAACATACACATAGCCTAGTACAGAATGTCGGCATTTTGGATAAAAGGGCATAGCAAGAGGGGGATATCTTCAAATAGTTGGCAGTAAAGACCTGGGTCGATGATTTATAGAACCAATTACCGGGTAACATGAGACATATATGAGTGAGGTTGATATATATATAAATATGAGCGGCCTAATAACGACCAATAGGCTTTCTCAAGTTCCCTTTATTCTGACGTCAATATAAGTATAAGCTGGAGGGTCTGAGCAAATCTGAAAGTACCAAATGAATCACTGAGCTCATTGTTTTGTAGCTTTTTTTCAGTACCCACGTTATTAATGTCAGTTTCCATATCGCCCGAACAACTATAGACATGTAGTGTCAAGAGAAATGAGAAAGAAATGCATGCATCTCTCATAGGCTTTATTACCCTTCAAACACGTTGAGGTAGTAACTACATTTTATACATCTGTATTATATAAATAGCAACAGAAAAACTGTATTTCCTGACATAATATACAATTATACATATTAGCAAATTTCTTTTGCTTTTTGTAATACAATAACGAATTATTTATACAATGTTAAAATACAAAGGAAGGATGTTCTACTCTTCTAAGCACTCTTGACCGGTTTGAAGGTTTCATAGACATAAGAGACGGATACAACATTTACAGTGGCTTAACGAGACCCAGTATAGCTTAGGTGAGGATTGGCCAGTTAGTTAATTTCAAGCAAGGGCTGGCCAGCTAGTGAAACACAAGTGAAGATTGGTCAATTAATGGAGCACATGTGAGGATTGGCCAGTGTGAAGTATAGGTAAGGACTGACCAGTGAAGCCTACAGGTTATCTATTTTGAGATTATCTTGAGATGATTTCGGGGTTTAGCGTCCCCGCGGCCCGGTCCTCGACCAAGCCTCCTCCAAGCCTTACACCCCCCAGGAAGCAGCTGTCTAACTCACAGGTACCTATTTACTGCTAGGTAACAGGGGGCACCAAGGTGAAAGAAACTACCCATTTGTTTCCGCCTCCGCCGGGGATCTAACCTCAGGACTACGAATCCGAAGCGCTATCCATTCAGCTGTCAGGCCCAGGGGACAAGCTCATCACACGCTTCCTCACCATAGACAGCAGCCACGGAGAAATGTAAACGTCTGGATTATAAGGATTCACAGGTTTATTTAATCATTAACGCAGATATAATAATGCTTCAACCTGCCTCATATAAGTTATGGCACGGGCTGGAATTCAAAAGGCTGATCAAAGACGACAATACCACACAGCTGTGCGTACGCATCTGTGTATCTTTCATAAATGTGAACAAATGTGCTTTCCGGACCCTATATACTTTATACAACGAAGGCGTGACCCTGACTTGTATATGCATCCCCGGCATGGAAACCTTACCTGAAAAAGGACAAGGAGACACTAAAAAATGGTCCAAATATTTGCAACGAGATTCGTTCCTGAACTGAAGTAATTAAACTATGAAAGAGACTTGAGAGAACTAGCTGGACCGTACCACTGGAGGAAAGGGGAATAGATAGATGTTGTCATATCCCACATAAGTGGGAATATGATAACAACATATAGGATTCTAAGGGAAATTGACAAGGTAGACAAAGCAGCAGTGTTCAAAACTAGGAACAGCAGAACGAGGGGTCATAGATGGAAACTCGAGACGCAAATGAGTCGCAGAAACGTCAGAAATAACATTTTCAGTGTTTGAGCTAAAAAAATGGGCACTAATACACTTACACATGTATTGGGTCTTTCCTTTACCTTCATTCAAGCACTACGGCATTCTAGTAAGTTTCTCCATTAACCAGAGTGCTGATTGTAACATAGAATGACAAATTCAACATTATCCAGCGTGTTGAATGTTATAAAGAATGACAAACCCAACATTATCCAGTGCTGAATGTCATAAGGAATTATCCACAGTGCTATTTATCACAAAGAATGATAAATGATTCTACAAGAATGAGAAGCCTATCAGTTTGGGCCTGAAAGTAACACCATTCATCACTTTTAATAAAAAAAATTCTATTAAATAGAGAAATCTAGCTGAATATTTTTAGCACCATACAAATACAACATCTGTGTGGAAGTCAAAATGAGAATACAGTCTTGCTATTGTTACAGTTTATTTGTAAAGCTGAGGACATGGCCTCCGGTGACACATGGAGAGGTTTTTCTTTTTGTGCTTTGCACGTGGGCGTTCTGAATATACCCGTATGTGCGTTCTGAATATATATGTACGGTCTTTACATATGGCCGTTCTAAATATATGTGCGTTCTTTACATGTGGCCGTTCTAAATATATGTGTGTTCTTTACACGTATGTTCTATATATATATATATATATATATATATATATATATATATATATATATATATATATATATATATATATATATATATATATATATATATATATATATTAGTATATTTTGGTAGCAGTCTTTCCTGTAGACATATATTATTAAATATGACCGAAAAAGTAATATTAATAATTCTAACACGAATTTTCTCAATCTTTCGTACATTACGCTTCACTGTTGGAGGTAAATAAAAAATCACTTCTCCAAAATTCATTTTTATTTCTAGTCTGACGCGACACGGGCGCGTTTCGTAAAACTTATTACATTTTCAAAGACTTCACAAATACACAACTGATTAGAACTTACGTCTCTCTGATATTATATCTACATTTGAGTGAGGTGGGAAGGATGCTGTGGCATTAACACAAGACAGAACAGGGATATTAATAGGGTATTAAAAGTATCAACACAAGACAGAACAGAAAACAATGGGTATTGAATAGAAGTGTTTGTAGAAAGCCTATTGGTCCATATGTCTTGTGTTAATGCCACAGCATCCTTCCCACCTCACTCAAATGTAGATATAATATCAGAGAGACGTAAGTTCTAATCAGTTGTGTATTTGTGAAGTCTTTGAAAATGTAATAAGTTTTACGAAACGCGCCCGTGTCGCGTCAGACTAGAAATAAACATGAATTTTGGAGAAGTGATTTTTGATTTACCTCCAACAGTGAAGCGTAATGTACGAAAGATTGAGAAAATTCGTGTTAGAATTATTAATCTTACTTTTTCGGTCATATTTAATAATATATATATATATATATATATATATATATATATATATATATATATATATATATATATATATATATATATATATATATATATAATATATGCGTTCTTTACATATGTTCGTTCTAAATATATGTGCATTGTGACTCATCGCCTGTATATGTGCATTCTTTACATTTATCTATATATATATTTGTGCGTTATCTATGTCCGTGTGTTTTATATATGTCTGTGTTTATATGTGTACCCACATAAAATATACATATACTGTATATATAAAATATGTAAGGCAAGCGTCCTGTGTAAATAATAGGTTCATCACTTGCTGTTCCAGACTGAAAAAGAACGATGAATATAAACACCTGCATGTTTATGAATATAGATTCATGAATATGAACTATGAGTTTCGAGTCATCGAACTAGTACACACACACTAACACAGGATAAACTGAAGTTAGGAAGCGCTAATGCAATAACGATACATACTTTTTATATGGAAAGCGACAACAGGTCTGGTCCCATGAGGGTGTGGGTATGAGGCTCATACTCACAGGGTGGGTATGAGGCACATACTCACAGGGTGGGTATGAGGTGCATAATAAATGAACTAAAACGAAAAATGGAAGAGATCTTTCAAATGAATTTCAAGAGTGAAGAGTACAAATATGAATTAGAATATCCATTATCAATGGCAATATGTCAAAAAAACACCTGCACGGAGCCACGGTCAACACCACACTTGCAGATGTTGTCCCAGCCGGAATACGAGGCTACGGGTATCTGGACGTTGAGCTGCTATGGTATCAGGAAATACAGTAGGGACAAAGGTCACACACCTTCTTAAGATTGGGTGAAGAAACTGGACCGTCAAGAAATCAATCAAAACACAGTTGTCAAGAAATGACAAGGAAATTATTGTTAATGATAACACAACTGAAATCTTCGTAGTTTAGCCTAAAAATACAAATTCTAATAGAAAATAATATAAGTTATCATCGCTACTAATAGCTTATTTGAGACCATTTGACATAAAAATATCACTATTTAAATTACTCTGTATTATCCAAGGTGTAAATATTTGACAGTATTATCAAGATGGTTCATTGTAAGACAACACTTAACTTGTTGGTAAGACTTATCATGAGACAGCAAACCAGACATGACAGAGCTCGTCACATTGTAACCTTAAGATAGTGAACAAGTTGGAGTACATTACTCCAAATCACATTAAGGGGTTTTAAGTAACACATACATTTAGCGGCAACAGAAGACGGGAGACATTTTCACCTTACTATCATAAACCATGTAATAGCCTAGCCCCTGAAATTAAATGCCAAGACAATAAAAATAGTTTAAAATTTAACTAGGAAAAAATCCACAGGAATAATAGAGACTTGACAAGTCGACTGCTTCCTGTCTCCGTCGAAGCCATTACAGGGACTGTGACCCTCAAGTGAATACAGGTAAATTAATGGCAAAATGGTATCAGCATATAAAGTCTACTTTCATATTATTGTTCTCATTGACGGCATGTTGCCTCAACCTAATTGGCTTCAGTATTGCGTTACACTTTTACACATATTAGTTGCATAAATAACAGTACCGCAATTATCAATATAATTATAATGTAAAAAAAAAGTGTATGGAAATCGTGACCAACAATGTTGAGTCACATCTACTGGGTCTGCTTAAAACCTTTTGTGTCCTCTTGAAATCTTATTGGGCAACCCTCTCGCAGGATGAGTATGAGTGGCTCAGTGAACTACCCCTCGCAGGATGAGTATGAGTGGCTCAGTGAACTACCCCTCGCAGGATGAGTATGAGTGGCTCAGTGAACTACCCCTCGCAGGATGAGTATGAGTGGCTCAGTGAACTACCCCTCGCAGGATGAGTATGGGGGTGCTCAATAAACTGGCAACAATAACACAAATCAACCACTGAGGACTCTGGGAGACGACTAGAGAATTGCCTCACTGAGAGTTAGGACAAATGTCTGCAGCTCACAGCTCCGAGAGGAAGGTAGAACAAATATCTACCCCTCACGGCCTGGAGGGTGGTGCAGGAGGACACACTTGGATCTACCCCTCACGGCCTGGAGGGTGGTGCAGGAGGACACACTTGGATCTACCCCTCACGGCCTGGAGGGTGGTGCAGGAGGACACACTTGGATCTACCCCTCACGGCCTGGAGGGTGGTGCAGGAGGACACACTTGGATCTACCCCCTCACGTCCTGGGAGGCAATATGTATCTACCATTCAAGGTCGTGGTAAACATGAGGGGACAGGGGCGGACCACCTGCCACCGCTGCGGCAGGTGATGGTACGGTCTCCGTGCAGGAGGAACTGGGTGCTGCAGGTGTAGGTGATGTTGTCCCCGACGGGGTAGTAGAACTTGACGGAGCTCATGGTACCAGAGATGATGATCCCAGGGTAGGTGCACGCTTGCGAACCTGTTGAGTGGGGGCAAAGCTTGAACGATTGGTTGAATGGATAAATGAATAACAATGCATTACTTGATTACTTCAATTGTTCATTACATAATAATTCAACCTGGCTATAACTGTTACTGCAAGAGAGAATTACCACTTAGTAAGTAGAAGCAGTGTACTACTTACACTTAGGCAAGTGGTCAGACCAAGTGCCGTCCTCTTGGCACACGAGGAAGGGCTGGCCTGTCAACACGTAGCCGGAGTGGCACTTGACCTCGAGGAGGTCCCCGGCTGAGAAGGGCCCCGGGCGCGTCACCTCGCCGTGCTCTGGCACTCCGGGTCCACTACAATGCACCTCTGTCGGGTCACCACCACCCTCACCTTAGGCTCTCCTCTCACCAACTCCCAAAGTATAATTAGATCTGATTAAGATTATATATAGATATATTCCTACAGCTTTACAATTTCCCGAAGAACAATTGTATTCAGTCTTCCTTCCTGAACTTGACAAGCGAGGATTGTCTTGATGAGTTGACGTTAATGTGCAAGCGGTGTCAATACCTCAGCCTGTATGGATATGAACTACAGGAACAGCCTACAAAAGGCTGATCTTGGTCAGCTAAACTGTGAATGGAGGAAATGTTCAAGAGGGATCTTGGGAGATCATCCTCGCACCCATTACTATCTCCTGCCTGGCCCCATGTTCACACCTACACTTGAAGAAATATTTCCACAAACGAATGATAACCTTTTGTCTGAAGGGACTCACTCATCCAGCAAAGATAATAAGCTCTCTTATGCAGGCGATGAGTCACGATAACGTGGCTAAAGTATGATGACCAGACCACACACTAGAAGGTGAAGGGACGACGACGTTTCGGTCCGTCCTGGACCATTCTCAAGTCGATCGACTTGAGAATGATCCAGGACGGACCGAAACGTCGTCGTCCCTTCACCTTCTAGTGTGTGGTCTGGTCATAATAAGCTCTCTTTGTAGACAGTAACTGATCAATAGTCACTCCAACTTCTATAGAAATGTAAACGTGAGTGCTGGGAAAATAAACTTAAGAATGAATCATTTATATAACGATGCTATAATTGTAATATAAATCCCTGACAAATAAAGTTTCTAAATCTAAATTATAAAGTATATAGTTATAATAATTATGTGTTAGTCTGTTATTTTGACTCTCCTATGATGATAATGTCCAGTACTATAACTTTGAAAACTAACTCATTTATAAACGTACAACTATTTACGAATAAGGTATTTGTTTTGTTTTGAATGTGGGCTGCCACCTGCACGGCGGCCTTTGTTGAGCAGCTGTGTTAAGACTGCTCTTCACTGCCTCATGACTCACCTGTAATCTCCTTTTAATAAACAAAGTAAATTAACTTACACCTATAATACCAAAAGTATAGCCGATATATTGAAGAGGCAGCAGTGATAGTTGATGGCAGAGGCTTATAAGCAACACGTGTGTTGTGTGTTGTTGTTGTTAGAGATTCAGCTACTCGGAACAAGTTCCAAGTAGCACGGGCTATGGTGAGCTCGTAACTTACCTGGCACAGAAGCGGGGCAAGAAGCACGGGCTATGGTTAGCCTCGTGGACGGGAGATGTCTCCCATCATGTCCCTATTGTGTGTGTACATAAATATTAAGATCACTTGTGTACAGAGATGGAGCAGCACCCCGCCAGCCTGAGGTGGTGAGGGTCGGACACTTACTCTGACAGTGTGGTACTGGGGCCGACCAGTTGCCTGAGGGGAGGCACTTGACCTGGCCCTCACCAACCAGGGAGGAGCCACCGTCACAGGAGAAGGTGAGGATGGTGCCGAGGGCAGTTTCTCCTTGAGGGTGATAGTGCAGGGTGGTAGCTCCTGGCCCCGCCTGACGAACACCCTCACTGGCGTTCACTGCCGGACAGTCTACCCCTGCGGACAAGCGCAGCAACATACTTATTTTATTATTATGGACGACCCTTCAGAATTGGAACTTTCCCGTTTGGAATATTGCAAATATAATTTTAAATGTTATGCTAAACGACACCCTTTGGGGGACTGATCAAGACTTGACTTTTTGTGCACAATAAAAGCCTTTTTTTCGCTACAGCTTACGTGATAAATCTGGACTACCCAATAAACTACCGCTCATAGGATGAGTATAGGCAGAGCCGGATTAAGACTTTCGTAGGACCTAAGCACCTCTAAGATACGGGGTAAGATATATAATAATAATTCATGGTGTCCGGAGGACAGCCAGCTTGGATGCCGCCCAGGATTCGAACCCGGAATTCCCGTTTGTGAGTCTAGCATGAACCCGACTGTACTACCGAGACCCCTTATACAGAACAGTCTTACTACAGTATATTATGAGAGCCTACACGGCAAGAAGCTCTGTATATCAAACCTTCCACCAAACTACCTCTCTACATACAGAACACATAATAAAATGGTCTCGAAGTGTGTGTGTGTGTGTAACAATTATACAGCATATTATACTGGCTGGGATCACCTATACTCCATCACTGTATCCCCAATGACCTGTGGATAAGCCGCCGCCTTCCTGTCCCCGTTGAGACCACTCGAGATGACGGGCCTCAGAAAAACTGAGGTACATGAATTTAAAATAATTTTTGCTTGTTGACCACTGGGATGGTTAGTGCCACACCTGGCACTGCACCACACACCTAACACTGCATCACACACCTGACACTACACCACACACCTGACACTGCACCACAGATCTGACACTACACCACACACCAGACACTGTGGTTGTCACCACTAACTCCATGGTGGTAACCACCACAGAGACTCCTGAGAGACAAAGTATAGGCGGGTGAGACTTACGTCTGATATCGAGGGTGACGGTGTGGGCGTGACCCGTGGGCGTGATGCAGGTGTAGTGGCCGGAGTCGCCCGGGTGGGTGGTGTAGAGCGCCAGCCGGAACTCCAGCTGGGGGTTCCTGAGGGCATCTGTCGTCCAGCCCGTCCAGTACTTCCTGAGGAGTGACCACCACCACACATCAGCCTTCCTTGACTCTGGTCTGTCATTGGCCAGCACTTACTACATGATTATAACTTATAGGTCAGGTGTTGGCCATAACTTATAGGTCAGGTGTTGGTCATAACTTATAGGTCAGGTGTTGGTCATAACTTATAGGTCAGGTGTTGGTCATAACGTATAGGTCAGGTCTTGGTCATAACTTATAGGTCAGGTGTTGGTCATAACGTATAGGTCAGGTGTTGGTCATAACTTATAGGTCAGGTGTTGGTCATAACTTATAGGTCAGGTGTTGGTCATAACTTATAGGTCAGGTGTTGGTCATAACTTATAGGTCAGGTGTTGGTCATAACTTATAGGTCAGGTGTTGGTCATAACTTATAGGTCAGGTGTTGGTCATAACTTATAGGTCAGGTGTTGGTCATAACTTATAGGTCAGGTGTTGGTCATAACTTATAGGTCAGGTGTTGGTCATAACTTATAGGTCAGGTGTTGGTCATAACTTATAGGTCAGGTGTTGGTCATAACTTATAGGTCAGGTGTTGGTCATAACTTATAGGTCAGGTGTTGGTCATAACTTATAGGTCAGGTGTTGGTCATAACTTATAGGTCAGGTGTTGGTCATAACTTATAGGTCAGGTGTTGGTCATAACTTATAGGTCAGGTGTTGTCCAGGTAGTAACAGTAGTATTGGTAGAAGTAGAGTAGCAGTGGTAGATATAAACAAATGCCGTACCAGCAACAATAGTAATTTACTAAAACTCATAACGTTACCAAACTTTGAGGAAATTTTTGAAGTATTCTTGACGTTAATCCATTCATGACTGTTTTAGTGGAGACTAACAAATAAATACAATGAAATACATATAAATACAATGAAATTATGCTGTAGGTGATCTACATGAAGGGTAATCTACGCTCTACGACAGGCTACATCTACGGAACACGGCAGGGGGGGGGGAGGTCTCCACGCTACAGAGAACATCTACATGCGTCTACAAGACATGAGAACATCTACATGCGTCTACAAGACATGAGAACATCTACATGCGTCTACAAGACATGAGAACATCTACATGCAAACACTAAATATCACCAAGTTGTGTGAACATCTTTAAGCGAGGACAACGCAGAATCAGTGCAGTAAGACTGGCATGGCTCCTTACCATAGCTTGATTGATTGATGTCACCTAAGTCACCTAAAAGGTGACACGGGCATGAAAAGCCCGTAAGTGGTGGCCCTTTGGAGCCATTACCAGTGTCATTAGCTGATACTGGAGATCTGTGGAGGCGCGACTGCACCCTGCGTGACGGGAGATGTCTCCCTTGTCACCATAGCAGGTGGTGAGGTGTCTTATATACACACTCTGGAGACATGGTAAGGTGAACTTCTCGTCCTTAACCCAAGAGCGTCCTACTGGCCAACGTAAGTGTTGATACAAGCAGGAAGACGGATAAAACCTGCGCTGAGACTATTTATGGGTAAGATTCTTCCATTCCCACTTTGTAAAGAAATCTTTACCATCTGTTGAACACACGACTACTGTCTCTTGTACAGGAGACTACTGTCTCTTGTACAGGAGACTACCGTCTCTCGTCTACTGATGACGACACTATCGTTTCCCTTTTTCACACGTCTCTACCGTCTATTGCCACAAAGCTCTACTGTCTATCATGTCCTTTGCATAAGAGTACGATCTGTCATCAATACCAAGGCACTTCTCCACAACTTTCTAGCTTTCTCTTTAATTTGTCCATATATAGCTATTTTTTTAAACGAGAGAGAGAGAGAGAGAGAGAGAGAGAGAGAGAGAGAGAGAGGGAGAGAGAGAGAGAGAGAGAGAGAGAGAGAGAGAGAGAGAGAGAGAGAGAGAGAGAGAGAGAGAGAGAGAGAGAGAGAGAGAGAGAGAGAGAGAGAGAGAGAGAGAGAGAAAAAGAGAGAGAAAGAGTTAGTTAGTTAGTTAGTTAGTTAGTTAGTTAGTTAGTTGAGTGAGTGAGAGTTGAGGGGAGGGTGAGAGGTACTAGGCCAAGGTAAAGACGTGTATGATACCAAGCTGAAGAGGGATACTATGCCAGAACAAAGTGACGACAAAATAACGTAATACGGGAAAATGGGATCAATATTGTCATGACTGACTGGACAAAATTAACGTTTGTTAATACAGGGAAATAATGAGACGAACATAGAATAAACATCGCTACACCACACTGTAGGACCACACCACACTGTATGGGACCACACCAGACTGTATGGGACCACACTAGACTGTATGGGACCACAGCATACTATATAGGACCACACTACACTGTATGGACCACAGTATACCTCACCCTTACCTATACAAATACAAAGCCTTACCAGCAGACTGAAAGCTTCCGGCACCTCATGTTAAATTTTCTATGTTTGTAGTTGCTGCGTGAGAAGAAATATTCAATTATCCAAGAAAGAAAACAAAAAATCATTGTCTCCAGCCGTCCTACAGTCTTACCTCACTGTATTCAACCCACTACAATTGGCTGAAGTCCACTGAAGCAGGGTTAAGCCACCTGCAGATATGTTCAGCCCACTCAAGATAACCTCACCCTACTACGATCGGTAACAACTTGCTACAACCAATACCTACTAATATACTGTCTACGAGTTACTTCCTCAGTCTGTTGAAATGGGATTAAGCAATCAGTGAAAACTGGCCATTTTCCTCTATTGCTTCAGGTCACTCAGCATATCTTGGAGATGATGCAGGAAGGCAGAGTCTCCTGTCTTCACTCTTATCTTAAGAGGTGATGGGGGAAATATGCCATGATAATGATAGGGCCGGATTTCACACACACTCTGCTTCTTGCGATGATCTTGTACAGCAAGAGCAAAAGATTCTCTATTTTGATTAACATACAAAAGCCAAAGGTGACAAAGGTTATTGCCATCTTTTAAGGTGAAGGATAAAATGATAAATGATAAAAGCAGGAGAGGAGGAGAAGCAAGGAGGTGAGAGGCGGCACCTACCCCACACCCAGCACCGTGGTGCCAGCAGTCTGCTCCTCCGGCTTCTTCAGTACCAGGCTCTCTCTCACCTCACCGACCACTGGCCTGCCATGGGGGAAAGATTGTTGTGTGTGTTCTCCCGCGTTACAATGGCTTACTGTCCAGGTGTTGACAGGGTGTAACGCAGGTTTCCCCTTTAACACGTAGTTTGAAGAGTAAGAACTAAGTAGTGGACATGCCTCATCACAATGATAATATTAATACAGTTTATTCATAATAATAATAATAAGCTCATTAAATACATCAGTTTCTAGTGCCAGACTTGAGATGAGCTGATGTATAAGAGCTCTTAGCTTATATGGTTCTCAGTTTCTCATTCCCTTTAGATTCTTTATACTAGCTACCTCACTATCACCATCCTGTTATTCTTAAGAATTTCTTAATGTCAATCCAGTTTGTTTCTGGGCTCTAGGTACTCTAAGCCTACTGATACACAATATTATTAATATCAATTAGAATGAATAGAATCCACTAATATCAATAGAATTAGGGTCACAGGTTCAATGGTGAAGGCCTATGGTGCCCTGAGAGCATGGTAGCGTGCCCATACCCACGGGGCACAGACATGTATGCCCCAACCTTCACATGTTGCTTTACATCATACGACCAACAGGTTTACCGAGGTATTCACGGTTTACATCGAGTGAAAATCTGTACTTTTGAATCTTACAAGAAATTTGGTCTGCTTAAAAATTCCTATAAAGAGTTCATATTTCTTTGGTAATTATTACATAATAACAAAAATTATCTTCGTTATTACACGAAAGTCGCTAATTAGAAGAGTTTTGAAACAAGATTGTGCAGTTACATTTATACAAAATAAATAAGTGCGACACCATTTCTGGTGTTATTTTTTAGTGCATTATAAAATATTTACTAATTTCCTTAAAACGGAAATTATTGGGGAATATATTCTATCCAAATTTCAGAATTCTACATGACAAATTCAGAATTTAATTAATATGAAATTCTGCATTTCCAACGAAATATTTATAACTTATCTTAAACATTATTGTCTATATTTTCTAATAAATGTCACTTGAAAAAGAAGAAATATACATATTTTTTTAATATATATATTAAGAAATGAGGCTAGCAGTGCATGACGAGTGAGGGAGGGAATTATCAAGGGAAAGCGCCAAGTCATTACAACTATATAGCACTTGGAAGGGGTCAGGATAAGGATTTAGGATGAGACGGTGGGGAAGGAATGGTGCCCAACCACTTAGTGGACGGTCGGGGGTTGAACGCAGAACTGCATGAAGCGAGACCATCGCCCTACCGTCCAGCCCAAGTGGCAGGACGCATGACGAGTAAGAAAATGAGCATTTCAATCCAGTAAACAAAGTGAGAAGAGGAGTGTAGTGACTTACGCGTGGGAGTGAGAAACATTCCAGCGAGGCGTACCGTAGCGTCTCATCCAGAGGCACTCCAGGTACAGCTCGGTGCCCGGGTACACCAGCAGCCGCCCATCATTGGTCTGAGCAATGGGCCCGTTCTTGTGGCGGAACAGTATTGTGGGCGGACGGTCCACTGCACCCACACCTCACCATTGCACGCCCAGGGCCCACACCACACGCCCAGGGGCGCCACCACACGCCCAGGGCCCACACCACACACCCAGGGGCGCCACCACACGCCCAAGGGCGCCACCACACACCCAGGGGGCGCCACCACACGCCCAGGGGGCGCCACCACACACCCAGGGGGCGCCACCACACACCCAGGGGGCGCCACCACACGCCCAAGGGCGCCACCACACACCCAGGGGGCGCCACCACACACCCAGGGGGGCGCCACCACACGCCCAAGGGCGCCACCACACACCCAGGGGGCGCCACCACACACCCAGGGGGCGCCACCACACGCCCAAGGGCGCCACCACACACCCAGGGGGCGCCACCACACGCCCAGGGGTCACCACCACATACCCAGGGGTCGTCATCACACATCAATTGCCGTCATCACACGCCCATTGCCGTCGCCCCACGTCAAGTGTCATCACCACACGCCGTCAACCATATCACCAATACACGCAAGGAAAAGAAGTTTAGCAATTTAGAAGTTCAACATAAATTACATACACATGTAAACCAGTATATAAACACATGTAAAACATTTATTACAGAGACTTCCTGGTATTGTGATGGATTCTGTTAGTTAAGGTTAGCGAGAGAGAGAGAGAGAGAGAGAGAGAGAGAGAGAGAGAGAGAGAGAGAGAGAGAGAGAGAGAGAGAGAGAGAGAGAGAGAGAGAGAGAGAGAGAGAGAGTGTGGGAGAGAGGGGGGAGAGAGGAGGGAGGGAGGGAGGGAGGGAGGGGGAGGGAGGGAGGTGGGTTAGAGAAGTTAGAGAGAGGTTAGAGAGAGGTTATAGAAAGGTACCTAGGGTCATTAAGGTAGCCCTAGGTTGGTAAGGCAGCTCAAAGTTAGCAAGATAGCTCACGGTCAGTAAGGTAGCCCAGGGTTATTAATGTAGCCCAAGATTAGCAAGATAGCCCATGGTTAGTAATGTGGACGATGGTTAGTAAGGTAGCCCAGAGTCATTAAGGTAGCCCCGGGTCAGTAAGATAGCCGAGGGTCAGCAAGGAATCCCAGGGTGAATGAAGTAGCGAAAGGCGGGAGAAGTGTCCCCGGGAGTGTGTGGTGTCCCAGTGTGAGTGAAGCAGCCAATATTGAATGAGATAGCTCAGGGTGAATGAGGCGGTTCAGAGTAAGTGAGATACCCCAACCCAAATGAGGTAGCCCATCGTGAGTCAAGTGAGCCAAGGTGTGTAAAGTAGCCCAAGACGAGGGGAGTGGTGGAAGAAGAAGAAGAAGAGAGGGAGTTAAGAGCGGGGTCGGAAGCCGACTGGAGTAGCGTACAGGCGTAGTCGTGTTCACGGTTGAGAGCGAAGCAGACGGGAGCGGCGGTGCTCCAGTAACCGTTAAGGCAGCGACGGTGGGCAGTGCCAACCATGGCATACTTGCCGATGTCAACACACCGAGATACCTGCCGGAAAGAAGACACCGTTTTATATATATATATATATATATATATATATATATATATATATATATATATATATATATATATATATATATATATATATATATATATATATATATATATATATTTTGGTAGCAGTCTTTCCTGTAGACATATATTATTAAATATGACCGAAAAAGTAAGATTAATAATTCTAACACGAATTTTCTCAATCTTTCGTACATTACGCTTCACTGTTGGAGGTAAATCAAAAATCACTTCTCCAAAATTCATTTTTATTTCTAGTCTGACGCGACACGGGCGCGTTTCGTAAAACTTATTACATTTTCAAAGACTTCACAAATACACAACTGATTAGAACTTGCGTTTCTCTGATTTTATATCTACATTTGAGTGAGGTGGGAAGGGTGATGTGGCATTAACACAAGACAGAACAATAGGGGATATTAATAGGGTATTAAAAGTATCAACACAAGACAGAACAGAAACAATGGGTATTGAATAGAAGTGTTTGTAGAAAGCCTATTGGTCCATATTTCTTGATGCTTCTATATTGGAGCGGAGTCTTGAGGTGGGTAGAATATAGTTGTGCAATAATTGGCTGTTGATTGCTGGTGTTGACTTCTTGATGTGTAGTGCCTCGCAAACGTCAAGCCGCCTGCTATCGCTGTATCTATCGATGATTTCTGTGTTGTTTACTAGGATTTCTCTGGCGATGGTTTGGTTATGGGAAGAGACCAAACCTCTTCCCATAACCAAACCATCGCCAGAGAAATCCTAGTAAACAACACAGAAATCATCGATAGATACAGCGATAGCAGGCGGCTTGACGTTTGCGAGGCACTACACATCAAGAAGTCAACACCAGCAATCAACAGCCAATTATTGCACAACTATATTCTACCCACCTCAAGACTCCGCTCCAATATAGAAGCATCAAGAAATATGGACCAATAGGCTTTCTACAAACACTTCTATTCAATACCCATTGTTTCTGTTCTGTCTTGTGTTGATACTTTTAATACCCTATTAATATCCCCTATTGTTCTGTCTTGTGTTAATGCCACATCACCCTTCCCACCTCACTCAAATGTAGATATAAAATCAGAGAAACGCAAGTTCTAATCAGTTGTGTATTTGTGAAGTCTTTGAAAATGTAATAAGTTTTACGAAACGCGCCCGTGTCGCGTCAGACTAGAAATAAATATTGAATTTTGGAGAAGTGATTTTTGATTTACCTCCAACAGTGAAGCGTAATGTACGAAAGATTGAGAAAATTCGTGTTAGAATTATTAATCTTACTTTTTCGGTCATATTTAATATATATATATATATATATATATATATATATATATATATATATATATATATATATATATATATATATATATATATATATATATATATATATATATATATATATATATGTATACATATATATAGCATTGCTGCGATTTCCTTGCATATACGAGCAATTAAGTTCATCTTGCAGCTTTATACGATGCTTAATTTCTAACCAAAAGTGGTTACTGCATTATGTATATAAGAAATATAATTAAGCAATGTTGAGAGGCGTGAGGTAAGGTAGAGACGCGTGTCGGGGAGTGTAAAGCTCACCAGCTCTGTGTCTTGAGGAAACTCTAGCACCTCGCCTGAGACTTCCTGGTCACCGTGGAAGGTGACGAGGTTGGCCTGAGTGTTCCTCCAGGTGCAGGAGTTGTTCCCTACGGGGAGGTAGTGGTGGGTGGGCTCCTCCGTGGTGCAGGGGAAGGGCACCCGCTGCCCCACCCACGACCCCTCCTTACACCGGATCTTCCACGTCGTCTTCTCCCCGATGGTGTTGGTGATGCACTTGAAGGTCACCTCTGTACCGTCTGGAAACCTAAAACAATGCTCTCACTAATTACATAGGAAAGTAATAATATATATATATATATATATATATATATATATATATATATATATATATATATATATATATATATAGCAATAACGATATTTTATATAATGATACAGGATAAAATAAAATTTGTATAAAATTTCTTTACATTCTCTTTACACTGCATAATTAATATTGAAATTTATTTGAAAGGAAGGGAATTTTCAGGGGAAAGCGCCAAACCATTACTGACTATATAGCACTTGGAAGGGGTCAGGATAAGGATTTGGGATGGGACGGAAGGGGGGGGGGGTAAGAAATGGTGCCCAACCACTTGGATGACCGGGGATTGAACGCCGACCCGCAGGAAGCGAGACCGTCTCTAATTTGAGAGTGTAAAAAAACCTACCTGAGCTCATCTCTATGGAGAGGTTGGCCGTTCTTGTATATGGTGGTGCCTCGCACATGGGCCGGAGGGCTGCAGGAGTTGTGTAGGTTTGGCAGCGTGTCAATACTGGTGATGTCTCCCCCCGGGGTCAGGTCACCGCTCCCGTATGACACCACTGACACAGCGGGGGAGGGAACAAAACAAAATTCATCCAATTTTCAATTGGATGAAATTCATCCAATTTTCAATTGGATGAATTTTCCCTTTTCCAAAAGGGAAATTCATCCCTTTTCAATATTGTTAGTGATTCTGAGCCGTGTATAACTACAGATTAGTGTTGTGAGTGGGAGTGGAGGGGGGAGGGGGGGCTGGGTGACCTGTAAGCTCTTATCTAAGTTGTTCTCGACTGATTTTAGTTACTATTCAACCACATTCTCTGATTAATCTTTGTTGAAGGTAAACTTTCTCTGCCAAGTTCCCATTGGTTATGATCAAGACTTTGCGCCAACTACTGACCAAAACTACTGTACAAGGTGTTATCATAAGGACTATGACGGTGACAAGAGCGGGGGAAGTCTAAGAGTGTCAGCGGCTGTGCACAATGTCAAATTCACATTATTTGAACCGTTGTTGCTTTATTTTAGGAATTTAAATAAATACAAACAAATAAATCAATGAATAAATAGAACTAACTAACTGTAACTACTAACATTTGTGTTAATAACACTATTAACATAACGCAAAATGTCCTCAATTGTCACTTTCAAGTAGAGGTACTCACAGGAGGGCGTGCGCATGTACGGGGGCGGCGGTGGGCGGTGGGCGGCGTGAGTGGCCTGGGCGGGAGTGATGCAGGTGGGCGGGTCTGGCTGTAGCCGCCCCAGCAGGCACCGCACCTCCTCCACCCCCACCAGCCACCCTTCCTCGCACGTGTACTGCACGCTGCTCCCGTGCTCCACCCTCTCTCCCTCCTGCAGCACGGCCTCCGGGTACGCCCCGTGTGCCACCTTGGGCAGGCTGCACGGATCTGAGGAGACCAGTAGAGTACGGAAGGGGTTATACTGGGCACGATATGGCGGAGGAGTTGATGGTGCTTCATAAGGGAGAGGAAGGCAGGGTGACAATAGCAGTCTTCAGGGGGTTGGAGAGAGTTTGTAAGACGTAAAGTTACTCAACTGACAGGAAGAGAAGATTGCTTAAGCCGTAGACGCTCTCCGACCATCTTGGTGTTGAAATAAAACAGAAACATGTAATGCAACACAAGTGGTTCATCAGTATATCTCAGATGTGCAATTGACCAAAACATTCAATTTGTGCAAGTTGAGAGTAATGAGAAATAGCTAGTACAATATAAGTCTTGGTTTGACTGCATACTATGACTATAGCGGCTGTGTCATATCTATATGCCAGTATGACAGTATAACTATACAGTCATACTGGCTTAGCGATTCCTCGTAATTATCTTACCTTACTACTTTACCTTGGTTTCAATGGCCAAGGTAATTTACGGATATGAGAAAGGTCCTCCAGGCAGCCAGGGGGCTGGGAGGAGGAGTGGTGGTGACGGTCCTTCAGTGTGGTAAAGTGGCACCTGGGAGACACCGTGGGCGGTGGTAGGACTCACCTAGGAGACACTAGGCGGTGGTAGGACTCACCTGGGAGACACTAGGCGGTGGCAGGACTCACCTGGGAGACACTAGGCGGTGGCAGGACTCACCTGGGAGACACTAGGCGGTGGCAGGACTCACCTGGGAGACACTAGGCGGTGGCAGGACTCACCTGGGAGACACTAGGCGGTGGCAGGACTCACCTGGGAGACACTAGGCGGTGGCAGGACTCACCTGGGAGACACTAGGCGGTGGCAGGACTCACCTGGGAGACACTAGGCGGTGGCAGGACTCACCTGGGAGACACTAGGCGGTGGCAGGACTCACCTGGGAGACACTGAGGGCGGGCGCCGGTGACGGTCCAGTCGCCGTACCAACAGCGGAGAGTGTCGGAGCCCAAGACAGTGTACCCAGCGTTACACAGGAACCTCACCACCTCCGCGTGCCCGATGGTGGCTCTCTCCGGCACCTCGGCTCCGTTGAAGGTGTACTGGCCATGAGGAGCGTCTGGCACCGAGCATGGCACTGTGGTCGTGGCGCCGGTCATGGAACAGCACGCAGTGATCCACAACACAGGGTAGAGACGGTCAGCCTCACACAATGTAGGTTACATGAGAGGTGCATCCTACAGTGTACTTGTCAACACCTGTACCTCAGTACGGTGTCAACTGTGACAACACAGGTGTTGCTGTAACCACAACAACACCTGTCCGTGACATTACAGTGTCACGAACACAATATACTAAACAATTCGTGTTATTAACACGTGCAAATAATATTTAAAGCAGAACATTAACATGTGTAAATAATCCTATGGAAACATTACCTTCCAAACGATTGCCAGATTCGATCACCTATTTAATTCCAAAAGCAATAATTACATAGACTTTCTTATTTGCGATATATTAATAATGTAGGAAATACAACATAGGCTTAGGAAAGGCCACTGCCTGAAACTGTAAATGGCAAGACTTGCTGAAGCCTTAAACTCACAGATGTGTTTGCTAGAGGATACTATATGTGTACCCACACCTAAGCTGGCGTGTCAAGACATATGTTGGAGCTATGGGGGGTTATGGTGCCCACTGGGTAGTGAGAGGGTAGTAGGGTATGTTGCCCACTGGGTAGTGAGGGGGGAGCGGTAGCAGGGTATGGTGCCCACTGGGTAGTGAGAGGGTAGTAGGGCATGTTGCCCACTGGGTAGTGAGGGGGGGTAGCAGGGTATGGTGCCCACTGGGTAGTGAGAGGGTAGAAGGGTATGGTGCCCACTGGGTAGTGAGGGGGGGGGTAGCAGGGTATGGTGCCCACTGGGTAGTGAGAGGGTAGAAGGGTATGGTAGTGGGAAGAGATAGAGGAAGTGGAGCAGCAGCAGCAGCAGCAGCAGTACTCACATGCTATACACTCGGGCTTCAAGGGCTTCCACCTGCCGCGGGAGCACTTGGCCGTCTTGTTGCCGATGTTGAGGCCGTGGCCCGAGACACAAGTGACCCTGAGCCTCGCCCCGGCCGAGAAAGTGTAGTTGAGGTCTCGGCCCGCCCGCACCACCTCCACCCTCAGCAGCGGCTCCCCGCCCACCTCCTCGCAGTGTGGGGCTGCCGGCGACACTTGGCGTCACCTTCTGCTCTCCCACACTCCTCAACACCTCCACTTATCTCCACACTATTACATATAATTCATATAAGAAAATACACACACACACACATATATATATACATAACATAAAGCTCCTTACCCCAGAAGGTTTCTGGGGTGAAACAGCCAGGGGCTCCATGCACCTTAGCGTGTCCAGTACTTACACTACTAGGCCACAACGACTGTTAAAAGAATTGGAAGTCGTAAGACCCTTAACCCAAGTCCCGACAGCACTCTGTGACTTTTTTGGGCACATATTTCATCAAATCATGACACATGCAGGGCCACGTGAGGGGGATTTGATGAAATATGTGCCCAAAAAAAGGTCACCAAGTGCTGTTGGGAATTGGGTTAAAGGTCAGACGACTTCTAATTTTTTTAACAGTCGTTGTTGCTTAGTGGTGAAAGTACTGGACACGCTAAGGAGCAAGAAGCCCCTGGCTGTCTGGGTTCGAATCATTCTGGGGGGGGGTGAGTTCTGTTTATTTATATATATATATATACATACACACACACTCCAACATAAAACTGTCACGCATAGACATTTTTTACAAACGAAGAAAAACAGCCTGTCTTAACAAGTCATAGGCCTTTTACTTTGGCAACACATTTCGTTTATGACCAAGAATTTTGCATATTGGTAGCATGTTAATGGTAATTGATATAACCAGATTTGCCCATTGGCGATGGGCCAGCGTTTGGTCCTTCGTGTCCTATCACACTTAATACCTAGTCAACATGTTTTGTTAAATTTGAGTATTTATTCAATGCCGAAATTGTTGAGTAAAAGGTTGAGTTGGGTAAACACGACCTATGATGGTTGCCTAACTTGGGTCACACGCTTATAAGGTGTGGTCGGGCTCTAACTGCGAAACACCCTTATCACTAGTTAATATTTGTACACACTGACATTTGCTAAACAAGAGAGACACATACAGGAACATTTACAGCGCTCTCGTCTCTTACTCTTGACGAAGAACTTCATGCCACTATCCACAGGTTTTGGGAGTACGCACCATTTTGTTAAACGTCAGAAAAAAAAAGAGTTGAATATAGGTAAGTAGTGAAGAAATCATACAATCACAAGTTACCGTTCATTATTATTTTATTGTGATCATTTGAACAACATATATTAACAAAAATGTAATAACAGGCAAAAAAAAAAATATATTACAGGCCAAGGCTAGTAATGATGTCTATAAACTAACGGTTTGTAAAGGATGCATGTGGTGATCGCTGCTGGGGGGAGGGGGGGAGGGGAAGGGGGTTACAGGCACACAACAACAACAACAACAACACCGCTTCTGAAGGGCTACCTGCCTAACCTCACAAACATCAATCATAATGTTCTCTCGTCGTCCACCACGTCACAACATCCTACCTTTTTTACCCTTCTTTCTCGATTTATTTCTTCTTTTGTGATCTTCGCCTTTATTGTCTCTTCTCGCGTTTCTCAAAACTCTTGAGAGCACGGCGCCTCCGTCCAAGTGGACCCCAGAACTACCCTCTTGGCTCGGCACTGTCTTCTCCCTCACCCACTCACTGCCCGCCTCACCAAACTCCGCCCGTGTCTTAAAACTTTGACTGTTCTCTAAATGTTTTTGGATGGAAAAAGTTGTTCCATTTAACAAGAGGTATTGTACAGCTAACGACGAACGTGTTGGTAATGTATGTGTAGCACCACTATATAGCCAGCCACTTGTGGCCAGCCTCCCAGTCCGCTTCCCCCATGACCTTGTTAAATAGGGGAGGCGAGCAGGCGCCCCACGACCCGCAGGTGCTGCCCCTCTCTGCCACTCCTGCCTGGCGCTCAGGTATTCCAGGTAGTCGGAGTTGTTGACTGATCGCTTCCTGAGCCACTGTGCTCGCGGGTGTAGCTCTTGAGAGCACCTGTTGAAGAACATTAAGCCAATCGTAGGATATTCTACTGACATGGTATAACATTACTGCTCTACACCCATACACTCCCAGGGTACAGTGCTCAATTGTATTTCCTAACAAGAAACACATCTTCAATGTAATGTAGTTCATCAATCGACACCTGTACTAAACTTTTCCTCACAAGCGTGACATTTCTTAAGTAACACGTGAGTTTAAAACAAATTATCACAATAACATACACTATAAGAGGCTATATCATGAAGTAATAAGTTACAACAGAGTAAATCACTATCAGGCAGGAAAGACTAAGATTGAGTCAACATGCCTCAAGGTTAGAAGGGATCTCTAGTGACTCAAGGGCACGCCACAGTCAGACGCTGCAATCCTGCATCAGCCTAAAGATAACTCATCAGTGAGAGTCACATTAAATCAAATATAAATCCTGACAATAAACATTGAGATGAGCCAGCATGAGCCACCTAACACGTCAGGAACCTGTAATACCAGTAGATTGACAGTTGAGAGGTGAGACCAAAGAGCCGAAGCTCAACCCCCCGCAAGCACAACTAGGTGAGTAGGTAAGTACGAGCCAGGTGGTGAACTTACTTGGGCAGGTTGCTTGGGCTCCACCTGCCAGCTACGCAGGTGGCCCCAGGTGGTCCCGAGGACAGGAAGTACCCGCGGTTACACTCGTAGCGGATGCGTCTGTCATTGCGTACCTAGAAGGAGGAGGAGGAGGGTTACTATTATTGCTTCAATTGGTAAATTATTTCCTAACACCTGCTGAGAGATATTCAAATTCAATGATGTGTATAAATATTCAGTACCACTCCCCAGCGAGCACTGTAACTCACAGTTCGCCACCAGTGCCGCCATAACCACCACCAGCTGCTACAGTACCTTCAACCTAACTAGAAATCGCTAAGTCACCATGATATACTGAACCTAATGAAACTATACTAGCAATCCCTATCAACCACTGTCACTAGGAGTGGACAGGCATGACATAAGCCTCCAGTCTAACATGATTCAAATTTTATTATCCAGTGTGCCATGAGATACTAATTAGAAATATAATCCAGGTATTGGGGGAATATTTCCTGTAATTATAGACTATGTAATACATTCAGGCATTTTATAAGGAACGTTATAGCATTGTTATTACCTAGAATATCTTGCAGAGTTTTTGATGCATATTTTGTTTTCTCCTTTTACCAGTACATATTTGGTAATTACATTCTAATCTCATTTTCCTGTAATTTATTATGTAGTTCCTCGGTTCCAGTGCTTTTGTCAGCCTCGTGACGCACTGATCAACAGGTCAGTTGTAGCCCAAGTTATGGACGGACATGATGTGTGGTCCCAGGTGATGGCGCTGCTTGCCTCCGTATATTAACTTCTGCGCTGATCCCTACATGGGCTTGATCCCTACACGGGTGTTGACAACACTACACACACACACACACACACACACGACCCGGCAGCTTCTTGCACCGAGCTGTTCAAACAACGGTCGATTAACTATTGAGCACTTTGCCAAAATTTCCCGGAAAGAACCGCACTAGGTAAATAACTAATTGAAAAGTAGAAGGAAGAATTAAGAGTGGAGTTCGGTCAGGAGTCGTCACTCGTAGCCGCCAGCTCACACCACGCACGAACACCCACTTGCAGAGACGAGGTCTTTGACACACACACACACACACACACACACACACACACACACACACACACACACACACACACACACACACACACACACACACACACACACACAAGCACGGGTGTCGACAAGAGCACACCAAGGAGCAGGGGCGGGGAGGACTGACCTTCTTGACGTAGGGGCGGTAGATATACATGCCCATGTTGCCCACCAGCAGGACCCGGCCATCCTCCAGGTACCCGGGGAACGGACAGTACACTGTGAGAACGTAAACATGTCTTACACAACTGCCTGAGTCTTACACAACTGCCTGTGCCTCACACAACTGGCTGTACACAGACTTATCTAAATACAGCTCAACCTATTTCTAGCATTTGAGTTTTTATCGGTAATAAAGTAATTGTAATACTGTATAACATGACTATATAAAGACATTTTCATATAACAGATATGGCTATAATTCTCCTGGCATGTGTTGTATCAGGAAGATTCTCTCATTCTAATCTTCAGTGGTATAGTTTTATATAATCTTATGTTTGATCAAATTTATATATATTCTCTCTACAAGCACACACACACACACACACATTTGTGTATGTGTGTGTGTGTGTGTGTGTACTCGTGTGTGTGTGTGTGTGTGTGTGTGTGTGTGTGTGTACTCACCTATATGTACTCACCTATATGTGCTTGCAGGATCGAGCATTGACTCTTGGATCCCGCCTAAAACGTGTGTGTGTGTGTGTGTGTGTTATAAAAATCATATAACTCAAATGGTTTTAAAACTATATGCAATTAAAACTAATAAATTCCGATACTATTAATGGAAAGAAAATGCCAACACTTTTGCCTCTCTCTCACTGTGACATGCTCTTTCTCTCTCTCTCACACACACACAAGAGCCTGAAGACAACTACTCATACCCTTGAGAGCAAGGAGGAAGGTGAGAGGTGAACGTACCGACCCGACACCAGGGGATCCGGCCCGTCCAGTTGCCGAAGTGACACTTGGTGGTCGGGGGGCCCATGAGGCGGTAGCCGTCCTTGCAGCGGTACCTCGCCCGCATCCCGTGTCCGGTCCGGGGCGCTATCACCATTCCGTGGCGAGGACGACCCGGCAGCTTCTTGCACCGAGCTGTTCAAACAACGGTCGATTAACTATTTAGCACTTTGCCAAAATTTCCCGGAAAGAACCGCACTAGGTAAATAACTAATTGAAAAGTAGAAGGAAGAATTAAGAGTGGAGTTCGGTCAGGAGTCGTCACTCGTAGCCGCCAGCTCACACCACGCACGAACACCCACTTGCAGAGACGAGGTCTTTGAGCTCACGCTTCCGGATGACACGCAGATTTGCTCAAATAAACAATGAGAGTATGAAAAAGGTGCAGAAAAGGGCAAACAAATGGATACCCGAGGGTGAGGGGGGTACACAAGGGCTGGGGCGAGGGTGAGGGGGGGCACACAAGGGCTGGGGCGAGGGTGAGGGGGGCACACAAGGACTGGGGCGAGGGTGAGGGGGGGGCACACAAGGGCTGGGGCGAGGGTGAGGGGGGGCACACAAGGGCTGGGGCGAGGGTGAGGGGGGCACACAAGGACTGAGGGCGGCAGGACAAGGAGAACACCACACCAGGAGACACCTGGATGGCAGGTAAGACGGTAGGGAGGACCTTGACTCACCTGGCTGGCAGTGTGGGTAGTGGGTCCACGTGCCATTATAACAGGTGGAAGGGACCGACTTGAAGGTGGGCTCGAAGAAGTCGTCGCACACCACCCTGATGATGCTGCCGTGGGGCACCTGGGAGCCCGCCCGCGTGTCGTTGGTGAGGCTGCCATTGTCGATGGTCGGCACGATGCAGGGAGCTGCACAACACCGGACAATGTGTTACCACCGTGTAATTGTACAGTTCTCAAAACTAGTAATAATCAGCAGGCAAATGGAAACAATAATTGCGTCTCATTGAATCCTTAACACATTCTTAGCCAAAAAACACGCGATCAGTGGGCAAATAATGATGCATAAATGCCCAATAAGGCATTCTCAAACTTGAAACACACATTATAGTGGCACTTTAATTTTGAAATTAATTAGTTTGCAAATCCCCATTAACATATTACAACACACTAATATATAGGAAACAATATGTGATCAAATTGATAAATTGTTAATGACTCATCATGCGCTCGCCTTGTCAAGACATTTCATGTGTGTCACACTCATAACTATCATGACTGGTCATAACTTTGTCACAGTCATGTGCCAAAACTGTTAATTTCTCGAATGAAGCATTTAGATGCATCAACAATTCCCAGACAATGTTCACCACACACGCCAGCAAGTCCTAGACAATGTCACCTTCACCTATCAACAAGTCCCATGCAATGTTCACCAACAAGTCTAGACTAGACAGTAAGTCCCAGACAATGTTCACCATACACATAAGAGAGATCATTGAGGAAAGAGGCGCATCACCGACCTAGACACTTGGGGAGCGGATGTGACCAGGTGCCATTCTTCTGACACTCTGTGCTACGGTAACCTTCATATTTCATGCCATCATTGCAGTTGAACTTGACGACGGCGCCGAAGTTACTCCGAGAGCCTTCCAGCCAGCCATTATACAGCTCACCGGGGGACCCGCAGTCGATCTCTGCCCAGAAACATTGGTTAGTTGCAGGCGATGAGTCACAATAACGTGGCTAAAGTATGTTGACCAGACCACACACTAGAAGGTGAAGGGACGACGACGTTTCGGTCCGTCCTGGACCATTCTCAAGTCGATTGTTTAATGCGATCCGTTCCTTCACCTTCTAGTGTGTGGTCTGGTCAACATTGGTTAGTTGCTCTTGCCCAGCACGAGCACAGTCCTTCACAGCACCGCCTGTCACACCATATACCACACTTGACACCACACACCCTAACATTCACCACAAATCACATTATACACCACGCATTACACCATATTGGCCTTCATGTAACCGTCTGGCATTCTGTACCCGACTTCACGCTTGTTCCAGTTTTGACCAGGTTACACACCATTTCAAACAAATTAAGTTGCAAACATTTTCAGTTATGAATCACATCAAAGAGTGGTCCAGGCACAAGAATTACATATCAACATAAGAATATCAAGAATGTCAAGGTGGGATAGCAGCATAAAAAATCAAGAATTAGAACAGTAACATTCGACAATTTAAGATGTGTGATATTAAGAGAAAACATAAGAGTACGGAATACAAATCAGATGAAAAGCTGTGAGCGCAAAAGTGGATAAAGCACAAGATTGAGGAGCGTGCTCACTGAGATGGTTGGTTAATGCTGCACGACTGAATGGTGGTACAGTGATGAAGAGTGTGTGCTGTGAGGGGTATGAGGAGAGTGCATGTGAGGATGTGAGGAGTATAGGCACATAGAGGTAGAGGGAATAGGGACAGACAAGGTGAGGTGGACAACACACGCGGCAAATGATAATACTCGCTGAAAGGAGAGAAAGGAAAGGAAAGGAGAGAAAGGGAAGGGAAGCAGCTGCTAAGGAGAGAATTAACATATTTGTAGTCCCCGAGACAGTGTACACCTGGTCTTAAGCAGCAGTAGTCACACTGCGTACCTGGTAGTCTTTCTTTACCCATAATGCTCTATACATAATGCTCGCAAAAATGAATAGTGAAGGGCAAGTTTTGTCATACACGTAACTTTCAACTTGATGTAGGAGTTCCTATCAACGAGGTGAGAGATAATAAAGCCATCAAAATAGGTTACTGACCAACCTGCAAGAATATTTTAGTCCTGAACATAAACTCCCAAGAAATGGGGTACACCATACGGTATATATATATCCCAATTTTCACAATGTTTTTCCCCATATATCCCCAGACAGATAACTTCCCATCCCATGAAAGTGAGAAACGGAACAATGATAATCTTAAGTTACAAGCTGTCCTGAAACGTCGAAACATGCAATAAAAAACCCTGCTCCCTTCCTGTCACTTTAAAATATCCATATTTCCCATTACCAATAAAATGTCAAATGTTTACCAGAGTGTGAAGAGTGAGCTCATTGGGACGCACCTTTACAGCGAGGCATGGTGCCGCTCCACTGGGTGTCCGGCCCACAGCGCCGGGTGGAGGGACCCACGATCATGTAGCCGTACTTGCAGTCGTAGGAGACCACCGCGTTGTAGAACACGGAGTTGTAGGTGGCCTTCCCGTTGTCAGGGTCGTCTGGGATGTTGCACTGGATGGCTGCGGCGAGGACATGCTACATCAGGACTAGTCAGCCATTGGGGGGGTTAACTCACGGGTTATCTGGTCTTGTCTTTATAACTTTAGATAAACACACGGATTTCATCGTCGTCTGAATGAAGACGATTTCTGTCTTTGTTCTTGATACTTTTTAAATAAGAAATTGCTCACATACGTCTAAGAAACGTGTGTTACCCCAGACTTTGGGACAACCCGTCCCTCACAAATTACGTCGCCTTTCGCTCGTATTCACTACAGCCAAAAATGGACGTAATGTGGGAATGAAAAATAATTGAAAATAATATTTTTTATGTCATTTAGGTTAGGAGGGCAAGAAGTTCTCCCAAGGTTTCAAAACGCCATGAAAATCGTTACTTGAAAGTTTCCTCTTCTAACCTAACCGAGTAAGCCACAGGACTCAAAACAGAAAACGGGACAGTACGTCACTTTCGTGAGCCGATTTCATTTCAAATTACGTCCATTTTTGGCTTGAGTGCGCGTACGAGTGAAAAGCAACGTAATTTGTAGGAGGACGGGTTGATCCACACGAGGGTTCCAGGAGACCTACGTTTACAGGTGGGCAGGTCGCGAGGGTTCCAGGAGCCGTCATGCTGGCAGTAATAGTTGGTGCGTCCCTCCATGCGGAAGCCCGGCCGGCAGTGGTACACCACTCGACACGAGAAGGAGTAGCAGCTGCCCTCCTTGAACCCGTTGAGGATCTCCCCCGGGTCCCCGCACTCCTTAGCTGCCCAGACATAATTATATATAAGTACACATTCTGGTAAATAAGTGGCAGGTCTTAAAGCTAACGCAATATATGTGGTGAATTTTAATTTGTCAGAAGAAACTCAATTTTGAACCAAAACAATAAAAATATAGCTAGTGACAGGTATATAATGGATAAAATGTTCAGTTAATTACTATAATTATGTTAGGTGGTGATAATGGTAAATTATAGGGACGTAGTTGTATTTCTAGAGAATATAGTGCTAGGCGAGGCAGTAGCATGAATGGTGTCCACATGACTGTCATTCTCCCTCACCGTCACACTCATTCCTTACGAGTGAGACGCCAGGCATGAGAGTAACATGAGGCGTGAGGGAGCAGTACTCACGAACACACTCTATCTCCGGGCCAAACCACTGCATGGTGTTGTTGTAGAGGAAACACTTGGCCACATCGAAGCCCCGCGTGGTGTAGCCCTCGTAGCAGGTGTACTTAAGGGTGTGGTTGACCTCAAACCTCGTCCTGGTCTCCACACCGTCGTGACGGGCGTGGGGGATGATGGGCGGGCTGGTGCAGTATACTGTGGGAGAGATGGCTGCTATAATATACCTTGGGGGAGTATACAGTATGTATACTGCCTGTAACGAACAATTCAGTACCCCGCCTGTAACGAACGCTACAGTACCCCGCCAGTAACGAGCAATACAGCACCCCGCCTGTAACGAACAATACAGCACCCCGCCTGTAACGAACAATACAGTACCCCGCCTGTAACGAACAATACAGCACCCCGCCTGTAACAAACAATACAGTACCCCGCCAGTAACGAGCAATACAGTACCCCCGCCTGTAACGAACAATACAGCACCCCGTGCGTACGAGACGACCGAGTCATCATACTACATGGCAACTCTCCGAAAATCTGAATTATTCCCCTCAAAATTATTCTAATTATAGAAATTGGTTCTTACAAATTTATGCAACCAAATTACACTGCAAGAGAAGAACTAATCCAATTTATGTTAATGTGTCCCCAACAATAACAGCAGCGAGCCACGGCAATATTAATTAAGCTTCGGCCATAATCTGGTAACAATTTTGGCGCCAAGGCTGTGAGCCCGTCTTCTCTCCTAATGCGTCGCGCGGGCTTTTTTTAACGGATTCGACACTTCTTTAAAAAATACGACATATTAATACAAATTATGGCAATGTAATAGACTTTTTTGTGAATCGGCTTCGATAGGAAGTTAAGGTTAAGTTTAATTAAGGTTAAGTGAATTAAGGTTAAAGTTCGTGCGTTTTTGGTTGGGGAAAAAGTTGTATTTTTTTTCAGAGTGGAACTGGAGAAGAGGCTGATATATGACGGCTCCTTGAATATGTGTCACCCTCATCCTCCCAGCCTGTGTCTCATCCTCCCAGCCTGTGTCTCACCCTCCCAGCCTGTGTCTCATCCTCCCAGCCTGCGTCTCACCCTCCCAGTCTGCATCTCACCCTCCCAGCCTGCGTCTCACCCTCTCAGCCTGTGTCTCACCCTCCCAGCCTATGTCTCATCCTCCCAGCCTGTGTCTCACCCTCCCAGCCTGTGTCTCACCCTCCCAGCCTGCGTCTCACCCTCCCAGCCTGTGTCTCATCCTCCCAGCCTGTGTCTCACCCTCCCAGCCTGTGTCTCACCCTCCCAGCCTGTGTCTCATCCTCCCAGCCTGTGTCTCACCCTCCCAGCCTGTGTCTCATCCTCCCAGCCTGTGTCTCACCCTCCCAGCCTGTGTCTCACCCTCCCAGCCTGCGTCTCATCCTCCCAGCCTGCGTCTCACCCTCCCAGCCTGTGTATCACCCTCCCAGCCTGCGTCTCACCCTCCCAGCCTGTGTCTCATCCTCCCAGCCTGTGTCTCATCCTCCCAGCCTGTGTCTCATCCTCCCAGCCTGTGTCTCACCCTCCCAGCCTGTGTCTCACCCTCCCAGCCTGTGTCTCACCCTCCCAGCCTGTGTCTCATCCTCCCAGCCTGTGTCTCACCCTCCCAGCCTGCGTCTCACAGTTCTTGCCTGTGGCTCGCCCTCCCAGATCTCCCCGTAGGTCACGTGACCCCAGGTCGCCTGTTGATTGGTCACAGCCTTGCACTTTCCACCAATCACATCCGTTTCTGCGCATCCGGGGCTTTCGGCGTCGTCGCCCTGAGCGGGAACCTGGCTCCGGCGCCGCCGACTCTGCCACCATAATTGGCAACAAACATATGGCGCCCGGGTCATATTCCTTAAAATTAAAAATATTTAATTTTTAATTCATTAAAATTAAAATTACAACACACTGTGCGTGCAACTCTTATACTTTCTTTGGTTAAAATGCCTCTTGACACGGGGAAAGTCCTGGACTAGATCTTAAGAGTGACAGACCCGAGGGTTACATAGTGTGGTGGACACTGGGCTACTAAGTTTAGGATACATTAACAACTTTTTAACAACTTATCCACTTTGATGGCATAAAGAGCAATAAGTGTTTATATATATATATATATATATATATATATATATATATATATATATATATATATATATATATATATATATATATATATATATATCAATATGACCGAAAAAGTAAGATTAATAATTTTAACACGAATTTTCTCAATCTTTCGTACATTACGCTTCACTGTTGGAGGTAAATCAAAAATCACTTCTCCAAAATTCATTTTTATTTCTAGTTTCTAGTCTGACGCGACACGGGCGCGTTTCGTAAAACTTATTACATTTTCAAAGACTTCACAAATACACAACTGATTAGAACTTACGTATCTCTGCTATTATATCTACATTTGAGTGAGGTGGGAGGGATGATGTGGCATATAGTGATGTGGCATTAACACAAGACAGAACATGAGGGGATATTAATAGGGTATTAAAAGTATCAACACAAGACAGAACAGAAACAATGGGTATTGAATAGAAGTGTTTGTAGAAAGCCTATTGGTCCATATTTCTTGATGCTTCTATATTGGAGCGGAGTCTTGAGGTGGGTAGAATATAGTTGTGCAATAATTGGCTGTTGATTGCTGGTGTTGACTTCTTGATGTGTAGTGCCTCGCAAACGTCAAGCCGCCTGCTATCGCTGTATCTATCGATGATTTCTGTGTTGTTTACTAGGATTTCTCTGGCGATGGTTTGGTTATGGGAAGAGATTATATGTTCCTTAATGGAGCCCTGTTGTTTATGCATCGTTAAACGCCTAGAAAGAGATGTTGTGTCTTGCCTATATACTGGGTTTTTTGGAGCTTACAGTCCCCAAGTGGGCATTTGAAGGCATAGACGACGTTAGTCTCTTTTAAAGCGTTCTGTTTTGTGTCTGGAGAGTTTCTCATGAGTAGGCTGGCCGTTTTTCTGGTTTTATAGTAAATCGTCAGTTGTATCCTCTGATTTTTGTCTGTAGGGATAACGTTTCTATTAACAATATCTTTCAGGACCCTTTCCTCCGTTTTATGAGCTGTGGAAAAGAAGTTCCTGTAAAATAGTCTAATAGGGGGTATAGGTGTTGTGTTAGTTGTCTCTTCAGAGGTTGCATGGCTTTTCACTTTCCTTCTTATGATGTCTTCGATGAAACCATTGGAGAAGCCGTTATTGACTAGAACCTGCCTTACCCTACAGAGTTCTTCGTCGACTTGCTTCCATTCTGAGCTGTGTCTGAGAGCACGGTCGACGTATGCGTTAACAACACTCCTCTTGTACCTGTCAGGGCAGTCGCTGTTGGCATTTAGGCACATCCCTATGTTTGTTTCCTTAGTGTAGACTGCAGTGTGGAAACCTCCGCCCTTTTCCATGACTGTTACATCTAGAAAAGGCAGCTTCCCATCCTTTTCCGTCTCGTAAGTGAAACGCAGCACGGAACTCTGCTCAAATGCCTCCTTCAGCTCCTGCAGATGTCTGACATCAGGTACCTGTGTAAAAATGTCGTCAACATACCTGCAGTATATGGCCGGTTTCAAGTTCATGTCGACTAAGACTTTTTGCTCGATGGTACCCATGTAGAAGTTTGCAAACAGGACACCTAGGGGAGAACCCATGGCGACCCCATCTACTTGCTTATACATGTGCCCATCCGGGCTCAAGAAGGGTGCCTCTTTAGTACAAGCTTGGAGTAGTTTCCTCAGAATACTTTTTGGCATGTCAAGAGGAGTACAGGCTGGATCACGATACACTCTGTCGGCTATCATTCCGATTGTCTCGTCCACAGGTACGTTGGTAAACAGCGATTCTACGTCCAACGAGGCTCTTATCCCTGTGGCCCGTGCGCCCTGCAGTAAGTCCACAAATTCCTTTGGAGACTTCAGGCTGAAGGCGCAAGGAACATATGGAGTCAGCAGGCCGTTGAGTCGCTTCGCCAGTCTGTACGTGGGTGTGGGTATCTGGCTAATGATTGGCCGAAGTGGGTTTCCAGGCTTGTGCGTCTTGACATTTCCATACGCATATCCAGGTTTATATTCCCCAATGATCTTTGGCAGGTGGAGTCCGGATTTCTTGGCGTTCACAGTTTCGATCAGTTTGTTGACCTTTGCTTTTAATTCGGCTGTAGTGTCCTTCGTTACCCTTTGGAACTTAGTTTGGTCAGAGAGTATGATGTTCATTTTCGCCAGATATTCGAAAGGGTAAGTTCCAAAGGGTAACGAAGGACACTACAGCCGAATTAAAAGCAAAGGTCAACAAACTGATCGAAACTGTAAACGCCAAGAAATCCGGACTCCACCTGCCAAAGATCATTGGGGAATATAAACCTGGATATGCGTATGGAAATGTCAAGACGCACAAGCCTGGAAACCCACTTCGGCCAATCATTAGCCAGATACCCACACCCACGTACAGACTGGCGAAGCGACTCAACGGCCTGCTGACTCCTTATGTTCCTTGCGCCTTCAGCCTGAAGTCTCCAAAGGAATTTGTGGACTTACTGCGGGGCGCACGGGCCACAGGGATAAGAGCCTCGTTGGACGTAGAATCGCTGTTTACCAACGTACCTGTGGACGAGACAATCGGAATGATAGCCGACAGAGTGTATCGTGATCCAGCCTGTACTCCTCTTGACATGCCAGAAAGTATTCTGAGGAAACTACTCCAAGCTTGTACTAAAGAGGCACCCTTCTTGAGCCCGGATGGGCACATGTATAAGCAAGTAGATGGGGTCGCCATGGGTTCTCCCCTAGGTGTCCTGTTTGCAAACTTCTACATGGGTACCATCGAGCAAAAAGTCTTAGTCGACATGAACTTGAAACCGGCCATATACTGCAGGTATGTTGACGACATTTTTACACAGGTACCTGATGTCAGACATCTGCAGGAGCTGAAGGAGGCATTTGAGCAGAGTTCCGTGCTGCGTTTCACTTACGAGACGGAAAAGGATGGGAAGCTGCCTTTTCTAGATGTAACAGTCATGGAAAAGGGCGGAGGTTTCCACACTAAGGAAACAAACATAGGGATGTGCCTAAATGCCAACAGCGACTGCCCTGACAGGTACAAGAGGAGTGTTGTTAACGCATACGTCGACCGTGCTCTCAGCCACAGCTCAGAATGGAAGCAAGTCGACGAAGAACTCTGTAGGGTAAGGCAGGTTCTAGTCAATAACGGCTTCTCCAATGGTTTCATCGAAGACATCATAAGAAGGAAAGTGAAAAGCCATGCAACCTCTGAAGAGACAACTAACACAACACCTATACCCCCTATTAGACTATTTTACAGGAACTTCTTTTCCACAGCTCATAAAACGGAGGAAAGGGTCCTGAAAGATATTGTTAATAGAAACGTTATCCCTACAGACAAAAATCAGAGGATACAACTGACGATTTACTATAAAACCAGAAAAACGGCCAGCCTACTCATGAGAAACTCTCCAGACACAAAACAGAACGCTTTAAAAGAGACTAACGTCGTCTATGCCTTCAAATGCCCACTTGGGGACTGTAAGCTCCAAAAAACCCAGTATATAGGCAAGACAACAACATCTCTTTCTAGGCGTTTAACGATGCATAAGCAACAGGGCTCCATTAAGGAACATATAATCTCTTCCCATAACCAAACCATCGCCAGAGAAATCCTAGTAAACAACACAGAAATCATCGATAGATACAGCGATAGCAGGCGGCTTGACGTTTGCGAGGCACTACACATCAAGAAGTCAACACCAGCAATCAACAGCCAATTATTGCACAACTATATTCTACCCACCTCAAGACTCCGCTCCAATATAGAAGCATCAAGAAATATGGACCAATAGGCTTTCTACAAACACTTCTATTCAATACCCATTGTTTCTGTTCTGTCTTGTGTTGATACTTTTAATACCCTATTAATATCCCCTCATGTTCTGTCTTGTGTTAATGCCACATCACTATATGCCACATCATCCCTCCCACCTCACTCAAATGTAGATATAATAGCAGAGATACGTAAGTTCTAATCAGTTGTGTATTTGTGAAGTCTTTGAAAATGTAATAAGTTTTACGAAACGCGCCCGTGTCGCGTCAGACTAGAAATAAAAATGAATTTTGGAGAAGTGATTTTTGATTTACCTCCAACAGTGAAGCGTAATGTACGAAAGATTGAGAAAATTCGTGTTAAAATTATTAATCTTGCTTTTTCGGTCATATTTAATAATATATGTCTACAGGAAAGACTGCTACCAAAATATACTAATATATATATATATATATATATATATATATATATATATATATATATATATATATATATATATATATATATATATATATATATATATATATATATTGGTGATTTTGTCTAAGTGCGAGGCATTATTTTGTCCAATACACATTACGAGGGAAGCAGAGAAGAGGTAGAGGAGGGGGGTAAAGGTGAGAAGGTTGGGAGGGAGGGGCAGAGAGAGAGGGAGAAGGTAGGTATTAGGGGCGGGGTGAAAGGTAGGGAGATGAGAGAAGGTAGGGAAGGTGAGAGGTAGCTAGAGTGGGTACTCACAGTTCTCACGGCACTCTGGCGGGGCGGAGGACCAAGAGCCGTCACCCTGGCACTGTCTCGTCTCCTCTCCTATGAGGTGGTAGCCCTGCTGGGAGGAGCTCTTGTTAGTTCTCACATGGTTACTCTATGAGGGGAGGGGTGAGGACACGCACCATGAGGGGAGGGGTGAGGACACGCACCATGAGGGGAGGGGTGAGGACACGCACCATGAGGGGAGGGGTGAGGACACGCACCATGAGGGGAGGGGTGAGGACACGCACCATGAGGGAGGGGTGAGGACACGCACCATGAGGGGAGGGGTGAGGACACGCACCATGAGGGGAGGGGTGAGGACACGCACCATGAGGGGAGGGGTGAGGACACGCACCATGAGGGGAGGGGTGAGGACACGCACCATGAGGGGAGGGGTGAGGACACGCACCATGAGGGGAGGGGTGAGGACACGCACCATGAGGGGAGGGGTGAGGACACGCACCATGAGGGGAGGGGTGAGGACACGCACCATGAGGGGAGGGGTGAGGACACGCACCATGAGGGGAGGGGTGAGGACACGCACCATGAGGGGAGGGGTGAGGACACGCACCATGAGGGGAGGGGTGAGGACACGCACCATGAGGGGAGGGGTGAGGACACGCACCATGAGGGGAGGGGTGAGGACACGCACCATGAGTAAATACAATAACGGAACGTAACTAATACCGATAAGTTGATAATTATCTTAAATTATCTTGGGTTGCCAGGTGAGTATGTGTCTTATGGTGAGGTTCAACAGGATAATGGTGCCTTATATGAATCATGGTGAGGTTCAACAGGATAATGGTGTCTTATATGAATCATGGTGAGGTTCAACATGATAATGGTGCCTTATATGAATCATGGTGAGGTTCAACAGGATAATGGTGTCTTATATGAATCATGGTGAGGTTCAACAGGATAATGGTGCCTTATATGAATCATGGTGAGGTTCAACAAGATAATGGTGCCATGTGTATGTCTCTCACTGTGAGACACAGAAGATACCGGTGCCATAAGTGTCACATGGTGATAGATAGAGAAGTGGCACTTTTAATCAGATATACAAATTTGAGGCATTTTTTGTTTGAATTAACATTTCCTATCATATAACATGGGACGAGAGCTGGAATAATAGGACAACAGCAATTCTGATCTACTATTATGATAGTGAAGATCCTAGTCATGAGTGATTTAAACCACCCATAAATTGAATTGGGAAATGAGAAATCTACATGGAAATAAAGCTGCGTTGAGAACTAAGCTACCTGAAGCGATAGTGAGAAACTTTTAGATACAATTGGACAGAGACAATTAAGTTCAGAGAAGGTGATGCTCAATGAAGATGCTGATCTCAGCATCACACATAATGAGAGAGATATAGGGGGAAGGGGGGGGGGGGAATAATCTAGCAAACAGCACCAGGTGCCAGTAACCACAACCTGCTAACGTTAGAATATCAAATCAAATGTTTATGCAGGTAAAAGTACATACATACAAGGTGAGTTACAAACATAATGTTGGATGTCTAGCCAGAGCTAGTACATACTGTGCCTAAAGCCACTGATACGCACAGCGTTTCGGGTAATACAGAGAAGAGTTGAGAGCTAAGAAAGAAGAGGGGGTCAGGCAGAACAGGAACTTGCTTTATCAAGAGAGGACAATGACAGTTATAAAGGCGTGCAAATCCGACCAGGATGGGATGAAATACATGAGAGATAAAGTGCTCACGTACAGAAGGGGAGATATACATTCCACAAACAATTAAACGAAAACCATAAGGAGAAGAATTTGGTAAAAATGCATGAAAAACCAATCAGAAGAGAATACAGAAAGAAGCAGGACAATAATGAACGAGTATGTAACATAAGAAGAGCAGCAGAGAAACACTACGAATTTGAATTGAACTATCAGGGAGAAAGCGCCAAGCCATTACGACTATATAGCACTTGGAAGGGATCAGGATAAGGATATGGGAGGATACTTGGATACTTAGCTTCCACAGCTAAGGTTCACTCAAGATCACTTCACAACCACAAAAGTAAAAGAACTAACTTTCAGTTGGCGAAACCAACCCGAGAATTATGTGAAGGGTTAAATGAAAGATTCCAAGATGTCTTTAAAGTGGAACAGAAGCTCGCAGCTGACATGAAATGGAGAATAGTTCATCTGAAGACAGAGTAACAAGGGAGCAGACGAAGGCCTCTTGACGAAAGCAAGGCTGTGGGACCTGTCAAAATCTCGCGATAGATACCAAAAGAAGCGTTTAAGGTCCCGTGCCATCCACATGCAATTATCTCCCAAACATCACTGGAAACTAATGGTAACAAACAACTGGAAGTTGGCTCATACCATACCAATATACAGAAGTAGAAGAGGCAGGAACCACTCAACAAGAGACCGTTGACTATAACAAGCACTGTATACAACGTGCTAGAGACAATTATAAGAGAATAACGTAATATTTAGGAAGAATGAACTTGATAAGAAAGCGCTAACATTGGTCCAGAGAAGGGATGTCATGCCCCACAAACCCATTGGAGTTCAGTGCTGGAATGACATACCAGACAGGAGAGGGAAGGGAGGAATGACTGCGTATTATCAGACTGTCAGCAAGCATGTAACTGTCTCACATACGAGGCTCCTGTACAAACCAAATAACCAGGCCAGAGTAACTGACAGTACTAAATGGAGTGGGAAAAACTCCCTATAATATTAGAAATTACAGTAATAATAATGGAGGAAATAATTAGAATGGGGGAATGATATTAGTGCGCTTCCACAATAATTCATGGTAAGATCCATGCTTTTCCTGACATATATATAAAACTAGATGGGTTACCCGGCGGTGCCCGGGTCTGCCCTCATGAACCGTCCTCCACACATGCTCTCCACTCTCATTTTCTCTCGCATTAAGCTTAAACATTTGTACACCTTCCACCTTCACTTCCTGCCCACACATGCCTCTGTTTCCCCCGGGGGCGTGAGGCACATTCCGCCCTGTGATGAGGAGGGGATGAGGGACGAAGAGGGGGGTGAATGGGGGACGATGAGGGAGCAAAGGGGGGACGATGAGAGGGAAAAGGGAAGATGATGAGGGAGGGAAGAGGAAAGTTCCAATTAACCTAACCAGAAGCCTCCTAACCCAAGCCACCCACCTAACCTAACCTTCAGGTGCAAAGCAAACGTGGATATGTGAGAGTCTCTACTCTTCACAGTTGCTGGAAATGTGTCCGTACGGCGGGGTGTATAGTAGTGTATAACAGTGTATAGCAGTGTATAGCAGCGGGCGAGGGATGGGTCGCCCCACACACACACACACACGCTACAGTATAGTGAAACTTATAGTTGATATATTCAAAACTAAGTAATACTATACACAATAAACCTTGTTAAGTTTGCAACTTAAATATTTTTTAACATTGAGGTGCATTGCTTATTATAGGTGCAATTGGTATGTTAATTAATGGGATGTATTCGTGAGATATATATATATATATATATATATATATATATATATATATATATATATATATATATATATATATATATATATATATATATTAGGGTCAAGTTTATAATATAAAGTACAGAGCAAACTAAGTAACCAAATTGTTTAGTATTCAAATGAGGTGAAAGACGAGACTTGCATATCATGCTGTAGTCATGCAGCTGTAGTGGTGGTGTTTATACAGTGGAGCTGGCATAGTGTGTAAGGCGCTTACCGTTACAGCACGCCCCGCTGTACTCTGTAGCTGCAATGGCATGGGGGGAAAAAAAGGATATCAGCTTCCACGTAGAGTAAACTAAGAGATTTGAAGCCTGCCACTACTTGATCCCCACTGTTGTGCTGGTGGATGATACTGATCTCATTATAGAAGTCTCTATAGAGACAACACCTGTCTATAGAGGTGACATGAGAGGCAACACCTCTCATGTCTGGATCATGAGCACTTCGGGTATAAGCAGTGGATTATTTAGCTCTTCATAACCAGTCTTGTCCATGCAAGACAAAATAAAAATGTCTTTTTGGCGAGTACGGTCTTGTTTATAGACAAATAGATTTAATATCAAACAAGAGTCCACTGGGATACTCATACATGTCAAATCAAGCAAGAAAGTATGAGGTGTGAGGCGAGATAACTATCACTCATAACCTACAACCACGTACTATAACTTCTTGGTGCTGTCCCAAGCCTCTTAGCTCAACCCCACTTCTTGCAGGATTACATATTTGTTACAACATCTTAAAGCTGCTCGGTACAGGGACGACCTCGCTTCGTCCAGGTCTGTGCTCGATCCCCGATGGTGCTAGTGGTGAGGATGGTGAGGATGTTATGAGAGAACACAGGATAGTGAGGATGGTGCTCATATTCACTCTCACACAGAAGAGTGATGATGGTGCTCATGTTCACTCTCACACAAAACAGTGAAGATGGTGCTCATATTCAGTGCCACACACAACAGTGAAGGAGGTCAACATTCCCTGCCACACAGGCCAGAGGACCATACACAAGGGGCTATAGTTATAGCCAGGAACCGTCACATCACTGTCAGGACACTACAGCCTGCTGCATCACACAATAAATATCTTATAATTCACACAATTTTAATTCGGCTTTCTACTGTTCAGTGCCACCCAGGATGGGGGATGATTCATGTGTAAGACAGGCACGTTTAGAATACATTTTTTGGAAGTATTTCAATATACCAAAATTCAGTGAAATAGCTACAGTGTTCACGGTACAGTATCCCAGAAGGTCTTTAAATCTTTTAAAGGTTCACATTTAATATTATTGTGTTCCAGTGAATGTTTTAACGGTTCGTTATACAGTTTTCAGACTGAATATTCTGACTCGGCTTCAGTAACTTTTCAGGTGTCTATAGAACCAAGTCGTTTTCTGGCAATGAACACTCCCGGGTTCGATCACTGTGTCGACCATACAAGTAGTTATCAAAAGATGACACCAAGCCGGGGAGACTATGTAGCAGAACCATCAGTGTCGCGGGATATCCAAAAGTTGCGGGCGATATCGAAGGTATCGTATACACTAAGTATTCTTACCGAGGGACAAATAACCACGAGGGATATTAAGAAAGCAAGATAAGTCGTCCTGAAAATCGAGACATTCCACAAGGAGGTGCACGGCCGTAAGGGGGACAATGTTGTTCGGACAATAAGGAGCAGGGCGGCGCTCCTGTACGTGCCCGTGAGTAAAGCGTATATGGCCAATACCCTAACCTAGCCAGAGTCGCTTCCCACCGTCGATTTATTATGGTGATAGGAGGGGGGGGGGGGGCTACCTTTAAGAGTGTGCAGCTTGTTACCTGTAACACCAGACCAACAACCCTGCCAACGGTCGCAGATCGAGGAATGAATAACCGAGTAGAAATGTGAATAAGGAATGCCTTTATGGGGAGATGGGACAAGTGCGGACAGCCTCCCTAGTGGCAGTGTCCGCACGGTCGTGTAAGGTAACACCAACATGGCTGGCAACCCAGGAAAACTCAACTGTCTTAAACCTTCTGGAGATAAGAAAGAGCCAATATTGGATTTCGACTACCACAGAATACATAGGGTTAAATGACTCCAGAGCCACGAGAGCACTACGAGACAACCACAATGATAAAGGAACGAGGGCACTGGAATATGTGGGTGCAAAGATAAATGTTCAAGGAAAAGACGTTTTATAACAATGCTGAGACGAAACCCAGTAAGGCTCAGAGTGTCAAGAGTACGAAGGGTGGAGGGGAGAGGCAGAGGAGAAGGCAGGGCAGCCATAATCATGTTTAGACAGCACGAGAGAGAGAGGTGCAAATAATGGAGTGTGCATCTATTAGCTCCTGAGGAAGTACGGGGAAGTACTTTCACCCTCTGGATGAAAGGTTGTCCTTTCATCCAGAGGGGATGAAAGGACCACCTTTCATCCCCTCTGGAAGGCGCCCGAGGGATGTAAGGAGGTGTGTGACTCGAGTGTGTCGGAAATGACACCGGGGGAAGTGCAGTGGTGGGTGGAGGCGCTGCGGCCTGGAGCATCAAGGGCAGACGACACACAGATGAAGCAGGTTAAGAGTAGTGTTGTACCACATAACACTGTGAGGAGACACGCATCAATACTTACAGGCCACATAGCTAAGGCCATACAGGTGGGAGGCTACTGACACCTGTACCCACCTGCTGACACATGTTCCCACCTGCTGACACATGTACCCACCTGCTGACACATGTTCCCACCTGCTGACACATGTTCCCACCTGCTGACACCTGTACCCACCTGCTGACACATGTTCCCACCTGCTGACACATGTTCCCACCTGCTGACACATGTTCCCACCTGCTGACCCCTACCCTGCCAGTACCCACCTACTGAACCTACCCTGCCAGTACCTACCCTGCCAGTACCTACCCTACCAGTACCTACCCTGCCAGTACCTACCCTGCCAGTACCTACCCTGCCAGTACCTACCCTGCCAGTACCTACCCTACCCAGTACCTACCCCCAGCTACCTACCCTGCCAGTACCTACCCTGCCAGTACCCTACCCTGCCAGTACCTACCCTGCCAGTACCTACCCTGCCAATACCTACCCTGCCAGTACCTACCCTGCCAGTACCTACCCTGCCAGTACCTACCCTGCCAGTACCTACCCTGCCAGTACCTACCCTGCCAGTACCTACCCTGCCAGTACCTACCCTGCCAATACCTACCCTGCCAGTACCCACCCTGCCTGTACCTACCCTGCCAGTACCCACCTGCTGGTACCTACCCTGCCAGTACCCACCCTGCCTGTACCTACCCTGCCAGTAACCCCTGCTGACACCTACCCTGCCAGTACCCACCCTGCCACCTACCCTACCCTACCCACCTGTACCTACCCTGCCAGTACCTACCCTGCCTGTACCTACCCTGCCAGTACCTACCCTGCCTGTACCTACCCTGCCAGTACCCACCTGCCAGTACCTACCCTGCCAGTACCTACCCTGCCAGTACCTACCCTGCCAGTACCCACCCTGCCAGAACCTACCCTGCCAGTACCCACCCTGCCTGTACCTACCCTGCCAGTACCCCTGCCAGTACCCTACCCTGCCAGTACCTACCCTGCCAGTACCTACCCTGCCAGTACCCACCCTGCCAGTACCTACCCTGCCAGTACCTACCCTGCCAGTACCTACCCTGCCAGTACCCACCCTGCCAGTACCTACCCTGCCAGTACCCCCTACTGACACCTACCCTGCCAGTACCCACCCTGCCTGACACCTACCAGTACCCACCTGCTGACACCTACCCTGCCAGTACCCACCTGCTGACCCCTACCCTGCCAGTACCCACCTACTGACCCCTACCCTACCAGTACCCACCTGCTGACACCTACCCTGCCAGTACCCACCTGCTGACACCTACCCTACCAGTACCCACATGCTGACACCTACCCTACCAGTACCCACCTGCTGACACCTACCAGTACCCACCTGCTGACACCTACCCTGCCAGTACCCACCTGCTGACACCTACCCTACCAGTACCCACCTTCTGACACTTGTACTTGGCCTGGGCGCCGACACGCTTCCCGTTGAACTCGACGAAGCCGAAGAGCGGGTTCTCCAGGTCCGGACACTCCTTGTCTGCAAGTGCCAGAGAACATGTCAGTGTTAGTGTCCTCACCTGCCACTATACTGAGTCACCACGATAGTACACACCCAGTGTCACACAGTTATGATGATGGTACACACATACAGTGTCACACAGTTATGATGATGGTACACACATACAGTGTCACACAGTTATGATGATGGTACACACATACAGTATCACACAGTTATGATGATGGTACACACATACAGTGTCACACAGTTATGATGATGGTACACACATACAGTGTCACACAGTTATGATGATGGTACACACCCAGTGTCACACAGTTATGATGATGGTACACACACCCAGTGTCACACAGTTATGATGATGGTACACACACCCAGTGTCACACAGTTATGATGATGGTACACACATACAGTGTCACACAGTTATGATGATGGTACACACATACAGTGTCACACAGTTATGATGATGGTACACACATACAGTGTCACATAACCATCAAGCGAGGTCATTACACTGTGTGTCACTATACTGAGGGTCACTACACACAGCCACACACTACACAGCACCACCATACACAGCCACACACTACTACACAGCACCACGATACACAGCCACACACTACACAGCACCACCATACACAGCCACACTCTACACAGCACCACCACACACAGCCACACACTACTACACAGCACCACCATACACAGCCACACTCTACACAACACCACCACACACAGCCACACACTACACATCACCACCACACACTACACAGCACCACCACACACAGCCACACACTACACATCACCACCACACACTACACAGCACCACCACACACAGCCACACACTACACAGCACCACCACACACAGCCACACACTACACATCACCACCACACACTACACAGCACCACCACACACAGCCACACACTACACATCACCACCACACACTACACAGCACCACATCACACAGCCACACACTACACAGCACCACCACACACAGCCACACACTACACAACACCACATCACAAAACCACCACACCCGCCACCATCTGTCTTCTACTCTTAAGTTTCTCAGATAATGATTCTTACTTTAGAGAGTTAACTTGCGCGCGCGCGCGCGTGTGTGTGTGTGTGTGTGTAGCCGTCTGGCGGAGCTCCGTGAAAAATAGCACCCGGGTATTGCTCCCGCTAATTTGTTAAGGAAGAAATATGACTGCAATAGTGTTCATTGACGGCGGTGAGTCCCTTTGTCTTGACGGCCTTAAGGAGGTTCAGGGAGCCTGTCTGCTGACACTCTGCTCACACTAGGCACAGGTACTGGCAGGGTAGGGGTCAGCAGGTGGGTACTGGCAGGGTAGTGGTCAGCAGATGGGTACTGGTAGGTGTCAGCAGGTGGGTACTGGTAGGTGTCAGCAGGTGGGTACTGGTAGGTGTCAGCAGGTGGGTACTGGTAGGTGTCAGCAGGTGGGTACTGGTAGGTGTCAGCAGGTGGGTACTGGTAGGTGTCAGCAGGTGGGTACTGGTAGGTGTCAGCAGGTGGGTACTGGTAGGTGTCAGCAGGTGGGTACTGGTAGGGGTCAGCAGGTGGGTACTGGCAGGGTAGGTGTCAGCAGGTGGGTACTGGTAGGTGTCAGCAGGTGGGTACTGGTAGGTGTCAGCAGGTGGGTACTGGTAGGTGTCAGCAGGTGGGTACTGGTAGGTGTCAGCAGGTGGGTACTGGTAGGTGTCAGCAGGTGGGTACTGGTAGGGGTCAGCAGGTGGGTACTGGCAGGGTAGGTGTCAGCAGGTGGGTACTGGTAGGTGTCAGCAGGTGGGTACTGGCCTAGACAACGGCTGCATCACTAACATAATTCACTCAAACATTAATGCACAAACACAAGCTCATTATAAAAATACGAGGTTCAAAAATATACATCAAGACTGGTACCCGAGCAGAGTGCCTTGAGCTACGAGGAAAGGCTGACGGAATTGAACTTGAGTCTACCTGAGCACCAATAACCCTATTACACCACACCGCACAACCACACACCCCACTACACCACACCACCACACACCCCACTGCACCATACACCCTATTACACCACACCGCACAACCACACACCCCACTACACCACACCACCACACACCCCACTGCACCATACACCCTACTACACCCTACCACACAACCACACACCCCACTACACCTCACCACACACCCCACTACACCTCACCACACTCTGGGAGAACATGGTGGAGTGTACTTCAAGATATCACAGCAACATGTTAATTACAAGATGGCTGGAGGCGAGAGAAGTTTGTGAAGTCTGTTATCGTGAGCCGTACACACAAGGAACCCCCCCCCCCCCGCCTTCTTCCCCACTCCACTACCATCATTTTATTATATGTATACATACATATATATATATATATATATATATATATATATATATATATATATATATATATATATATATATATATATATATATATATATATCTTATATATATCAGGCGGCCAGCCAGCCATACAGCTACTCAGCCAGCAATCCTGTAAGCAAGCAAGTCAGCTAACCATCCAACTAACCAGCCAACCATTTAGCCTGCCAAATTGCTGAGCACTTAGGAGTAATAATTGCTGCATGTGATGAATTAAGACAGGTATAAGATGAGCCCCGCTAACTACAGACTTCATCAAAGGGTTTCATGTCGTTACATCATTCTCAGACTGTCAATGTCCCCTAAAGATAGATGGTTCTATCAGGCATTTTCCGATCAAGGCTGGACAGTAACTAATAGATATTTAAAGTATTTAATACATGTTAACAATGACCACGCTCTTGACACTGATTGTTTAGACGAGTCCGACTTTAACATTTTGGACTCGTGCATGGAGTCTGACCTGGGCAGAGAGTGTGAGTCTGACCTGGGCAGAGTCTGAGTCTGACCTGGGCAGAGAGTCTGAGTCTGACCTGGGCAGAGAGTCTGAGTCTGACCTGGGCAGAGAGTGTGAGTCTGACCTGGGCAGAGAGTGTGAGTCTGACCTGGGCAGAGAGTGTGAGTCTGACCTGGGCAGAGAGTCTGAGTCTGACCTGGGCAGAGAGTCTGAGTCTGACCTGGGCAGAGAGTGTGAGTCTGACCTGGGCAGAGTCTGAGTCTGACCTGGGCAGAGTGTGAGTCTGACCTGGGCAGAGTGTGAGTCTGACCTGGGCAGAGTCTGTGAGTCTGACCTGGGCAGAGTGTGAGTCTGACCTGGGCAGAGTCTGAGTCTGACCTGGGCAGAGTGTGAGTCTGACCTGGGCAGAGTGTGAGTCTGACCTGGGCAGAGTGTGAGTCTGACCTGGGCAGAGAGTGTGAGTCTGACCTGGGCAGAGTGTGAGTCTGACCTGGGCAGAGAGTGTGAGTCTGACCTGGGCAG